GTGTGTGTGTGTATTCGTGTGTGTATTCGTGTGTCTTCTGTGCAAAGGTTTGGTTGCCTCGGTAGCTTAGTGATTAGAGCAGCAGGGCGTAAATCAGAAGGCCCGGGTTCGAGTGTCCGTCCAGCCAACCAATTCTTTGAACAAATTTAATTACTAGAATAAAATAGGCATTTCGTAAACATCTCTGGCTAATACTGACGCTGGTGTCGAGCCACACGAGGAAGCCGCCGCCCGCGGCGAACTTGTGCGCGAGCACGACGCGGCGCGTGGCGTAGTTGTAGAAGAGCAGGCGGCCGTCGTCGCCGTAGGAGGCCACGTACGTGTCATAGGGGCAGGCGGCCACGCTGCGCACGCCGCCCGCGTGGCAGCGGAACACTTTCTCGGGCGCCAGCGGGTGGTCCTGGTCCATGTCCACCAGCCAGATGCCGCCGTTGCCGTCCTGCCCAACACACACACATGACGCCGACTCCTGCCCGTTCAATAGTCAAGTAAGTGTAGAGCTCGTTTTTATCACGGGATGTGAAGGCGATGTTCCCACGCTGCATGGCGAGATACGGCGCCGACCCAAACGTTAGCTTACACGGTTTTCCCCATCCAGGGTCTAAGGAAGAAGGTCTAGGCTCTCGACTGGTCTCCCGACACAAATGGTGCTGTAATGCATGTGAGCGAGCGTGCGTGTAAGGAATGAGAATAGGACAAGAAAGGCGAAGGAAAGATCGCGCGCGGTCCGTGTCCCATTTGTTAGGTACCGCTCCGGCAGTTGCCTGGTGTTGAGCTGAGAATCTACAGAAAACTACACTATGTGATGGAAAGTATCCGGACACGGGGCTGAAAATGACTTACCAGTTTGTAGCGCCCTCCATCGGTAATGCTAGAATTCAACAGGGTGTTGGCCCACCCTTAGCCTTGATGACAGCTTCCACTCTTCCATTCCAGGCAAACTTTCAATCAGGTGCTGAAAGGTTTCTTGGGGAATGGCAGCCCATTCTTCACGGAGCGCTGCACTGAGGAGAGGAATCGATGTAGGTCGGTGAGGCCTGGCACGAAGACGGCGTTCCAAATCATACCAAAGGTTTTCGATAGGATTCAAGTCAGGAATTCGTGCAGGCCAGTCCTTTACAGGGATATTGTCGTGTAATCACTCCGCTACAGGTCGTGCACTATGAACAGGTGCTTGATCGAGTTTAAAGATGCAATCGCCATCCCTGAATTGCTCTTCAACAGTGGGAAGCAAGAAGGTGTTTAAAACATCAGCGTAGGCCTGTGCCGTGGTAATGCCACACAAAACAACGAGCGGTGCAAAACCCCTCCATGAAAAACACGACCACACCATAACACCATTTTGGACGTGGCCGGATACTTTTTATCACATAAATGTACCTATCAGAAAAGAGAGCCGCTATAATTTCTCAAGAGAGAGGCTGAACTCGACCTAACTAACAAGCTGGAGTCAAAAAGAACAGGCCAACTTCGGAACTCCAACTCTAGGCCCTCTCATTCAGAAGCACTGCAGTGACAGCAGTTGATGCCCTGAGCCACCTCAGCCAGTATTCCGGTACACTTAGCCTAAGGAATCTGTGCACGCAGCTTACGTCACAAAGGAGAGAGACGGCTGAACTGAATGCCGTCTTAAAAAATATCGATTTCCCCACTTTTTGAAGGGCAGCTTCGCCACAAAAAATACATTCACATTTTGTGTAAGAAAACTTAGAAGAAAACATGTTATTAAAGCAAGGAACCCCAATTTACGGACGATTACAATCCCTATCTCACATTGGACGACATGCTGTTTTGTAAACTAGCTAGTGATAGTGATGTGATAAGTGGTTTGTAGGGGGCAATAGCGTTACCTCTGGTGCTGAAAATTGTGGGGTGAGGGTGAATTTGTGGTTAACTTCGTATGTTCGTATATTCGTACTTTGTATGACCTTTGAGGTTTTGGTAGATTTTTTCTATTACTTGGGTAACAACATTCCAAATGTCTAACGTTTTTCTTCAGAACATACATTATTATTTGTTGATTTGTATTTTCTTTGTTCTGAATCAGCTATGTCCTTTGATGTTCTCTGTGTCACTGGTGGACATCTAAGAGAGATGTATTTGTTTTCAAGAAGACATTTCACATTACCGTCTTTTTTTAAAAAAATGCAGGTTACTAATAATCATGTTTTCACACCTTATGTCGTAAAGATCACGTTTATGAGTTCTATATATCCTGTTTATATGCCATTAATACTGTTTCTCACAATTAGAGACTAAACTAACCATTTTATTTTAACAATAATATATAATGCATTACATTACATTTGCATTGTATAACTCTTTAGAAAGTTAATATGCCTATAGCAGATAATACACTTCAGCTTCTGGGCAAACGAACCCTCATCTCGATGAGGCTTTCGCCCAGTTTCTCTGATATATTGGGCAAATACTAAGATGGCCCCTTGATTTCCAGACATACTAAATGTAGCTACGTTATGCGTACTTTTGTTCAACTCTCCTTTTGCTGCTTGTGGAAGGAGTAGCCGGAGGTATTTTGTTAGCAATATTAAAAATCAAACCTGTAGTTCGTCGACCGACCCAAATAAGGTTTGTTTGAGGAGCAAAAATGTCTAATTTTCAACTGTTGCTTCTCTTCATCATTCGTCTATTTACGGTTAAAAGGTGGGGAAGAGAGTCTGGAGCAGTAGAAAATGTTTGAAAATTGTAATTCTCCCGAATACGTCACATAAATGTTTTACTGTTCTTTGAATAAAATAAAACAAAATCTCACGTATACTACTCGAGTAACTTGCGTGCCTGCCAGGGCTATCAGGCCCCGAATAAAGGCACCCTCCCCCCCATAAAGGTGGCTTCGGCAACGAGGGCCCCCGGGGGAGTGGCTACCTTGCTGCGCGCCTGCCTCTTCGGTATTGGACGAGTGGCTAGCGACTGCGCGCCGAATCCCTCAATGGGTTGCTTACTATTTGCCCAGCGACGAACACTCGGGGCTCGCACAGCCGAGCGAACATTCGCCAACCGCATCAGCTGCTCGGCGAATCCGAATGTGAGGAGCCGCCTGAAACGTATCCGTATGACCAACTTCATTCAACTCAACGTGCCTTGTTTTCCGTTGCGCAACTCTTTCACGCCCCTTTCACCATCTAGCGGAGAAAGAAGCTATCTCTCCGGCGACGAAATAGGCGATTTAATTTTTGCTCAGAGGCTTTTCTGAGGCTTGAGGATCTTTTACATACAGTGAATCTATAACATGGGGTTTGCTTCCCCTCCAAAATAAGGATTTCGAAGGATTTTTGCGTTCTTAAAATCACAGCTTTGATCGGTTTTGAAACCGCAAACTTGGTCAGTCCTACTTACGATTATTGTCCGATTTCAATAGTGACTTCTGATGTTCGATCAGCTGTGACGCGTTGTAAAATCGGGAGCTTCAATATCAAGAATTACGTCGTAATGAGTCTCCCGATTGGATAACCGTATCCAGCTGACACATGTCATAAGTCACTCTATTTAAATCGAAGAATAAACCTCTATTCCGGAATTTGGAGGAAATGAGGTGTCATTCGACGAATCTTTGTCATCTGGTGGGAAGTTGAACTTTTTCTGTATCCTTTCAGAACATTTGAAGAGAATTCTCGAAAACTTTTAGCGTTATAAGCATCTAAATTGCGCTGGGGGATTGGGCACCGCGACGGGGCGATCAATAACTCCTACTCCTCCCGGCAAGACGAGTGTCCGTACAATGGTACTATTTCTACCGATTTTTTCCAAACTGTTCTAAGACGTACCCTTTAAAAGGTTTTCGTTTTAACATTGAGCGTCGTATCTGGGATACCCTTTGTTCTATAAACAACGCATTTTTGGAGGTATCGTGACTCTTCGTGTTGAAATGCTGTGAATCATTATATTGCCGATCCGGTATAACATTCATCGTCACGATTTCATTCATCTTACTGGACTGTTTCAAATTAAACCAATTTTTGTAATGAAACAAATATGAAAGAAAAAAGGTATACTTTTTTCGCCTAGCTTTTGATACAAGACAATGTACCAGCCAGGCAACAGTATTGCATTTAAACTTAATTACTAATATGATTTTTCCTAGCATAAATAAATAATGTGAAAAGTCAAAACTGAGATCAGTTACCCAATGAACGTCATGAATGAATGCAACTAAGCCATGAACAGTGAGAGGGCCCCCACAGCCCGGAGCCACATCGCGGCCCAGGTGAAATTTGTGCGCAGCGGCAGCGCCATTGCATCGCTCAATCCGCGGCGGATTTTCTTTCGCTGTCGGACGGGGTGCGCTTTCCCCGCTGCAGCTTGGGTTGCACTGTGGATTGTTGATTCCACTTTTTCAGATTTTCAGTTGTTTTTTTCTTTTTTTTCAGATTCAAAACTAAATACGTCAAATAGTGACATAACAATAAATCTATCTCTGTACGAGCCGGATCCCACGGCCACGATATGCTGCAGTAGGCGAGACGCCAATACTTGCATGAAAATTGCGGTAAACAACGCCAAAAGCGCGCCGAACGGCTATTGTCTTTCCTGACCATGTTCTTTTCTCCATTTTCAGATCAGCCATAGATGTCCGAAAGGATAGGAATGACTCCACAGCAGGGAAGTGTGGCGGCATTGCACTACTGCGGCCACACGCACCTGCGCTGCAAAGCACTGCTCACTTTTTCAGATCGCCAGTACATCTGACACGACTGAATATTCACCAAAACAAATCTTCTAATTAGGTTCAGTCATTTATTCAACCGTTAATCTACTGTAAATAGCACTTTCATAAAATTCGAAATTTTAATTTGTTGTTCTTAGAAATGTGTTCATGATATACGAGGGTCATTTCAGAAGTCATTGCAACTACTTTTTATCAGTCAATAAAGCTGCTGGAGCTCTTTAACAGAAGCGTGCATTTTCTTCTTTCTGATTAACAATCAATGTAATCAACAATTAAGTCTGAGTACAAACCACTCACACCTTATGGCTGGCCACTCCAAAACTGTTATTGACTAATCTTACAAATAATGTTACTGACTAATCTTATGTACTCCTAAACCCCTTAAAATACTGCATTGCCCAACAAGAATATTTTTAAAAATAATAAAAAATAAAAAAACTGCAAGAAGCAAAATTCGGGATATACGATTGAAAGTCACTGGAATATTCTTCGAAATGCTGGTACTAAACTGGGATGGGTAAGGGGCACTGAAAGATGCTTACATAGATATCATTGTTTTATTCGTATTAGATATGCCCAAAACAAAACAGTAAGCGTAATAGTCGTACTCTTACGAGCTAACAACCTTCAAAATAATTCTCCAAGGCCTTTACACATCTTTGCCAACGATGAGGAAGGCAGTGCATCCATCCAAGCAATGAAAAAAATAGTGAAGTGTCTCGTTAAAGGTAAGTTTGAGCTACATTTCATCCAATTTTCAAATATTAATACAGAAAATTACTCAGATACACGAAATAAATACGAAATTATGTGACTCCAGAAATACTAGAAGGAATACAAAGTACCTGGAAACTGTTGCAAAAACATTCAATGATTTGCTGGAAAATAATTCCTGATATTTTACTTTATTATCGCTGGAATGCGCAGTGGCGACAAAAATTCAAAATTGAGTGATATAGAATAGGACTTGACACCCGAATAAGTAACATACTTTAAGTATTACCCGATCGATCTTTCATAGGGGAACGATCTCAGCACAAGACTGGCAGTTTCACCACGGATAATCTACGGATGATACTTGTAGTTTCTTTCAACTCTGAATAAACGGAAGATTTTATTACATTCGTCGTTTATTTTTAAACCATTTTTGTCCTTTTTATTTTTCTTTATTTCTTTTTAATGCTGCCAGAAATAGTTTTCCCAGCTCTGAAATTGTTTGTACTAAGTTAACTTTACAATATTTGACAGTTTTCTAATTGTTCATGAATACATAAAATATAATAATTAGATCATATTTCATTTCTTCTGGAACATATTACACAAATTTAGATAATATTTGCATGCAAATTTCTTCTTTTGATTCAGCATTAACTTCCGAAGAGAGACTTCCGTTGAGACAAAAGGAAAAGACATTTCATATGGCTTTTTTATTTCGTTTTTTTCGATTTCGACTAATAAATAATTTTCCCCCTTTTCTCTCATTTTCAAAGCATTTTTGCGGATGTCATCGATTTTATTACCACTTTAATGGTACAATGCTTTAAATAATACTTACAATATGTAACAAATGTTATCGGCAGACTTCCTGAAAAACCTAATAGATATCTTTGCTCAGAAATTGTAATGTCAGCCAATGAGAGCACGCAATCTATGGTTTCTGTGGCGCCTATCAACACTATTGTCCGCCGATTTTGGGATATCTAAGGACAGAGATTTCCTGGTAAAGAATATTGCAAACCAAAAGTTTGCCAGCTGAATTCACTTGACCTAAAGAAAGCAGTCTCGATTACATCAATAACATATCCAATAGATTGTGTTGTTCATCTTAACTGGTTTTGAACATTTTTTTTTACATTATCTTTGCTTTTAGGTCATTTTAAAAAAAAATAATAACATTTTATTGATAATTTAAGGCGACGTTTTAGTTCATCAAAATCCACCCCTAATAATTATCATTAATGGAATACTTTATTTTTTACATTAGTTCTATAAATCGTCCTTCAGATGATATAGATTCACGATTGTTGAGTGTCAGATTTTCTCAGGTCGTCTGCGATCTGATTCAACATTTCATTACAATAGTTACTGGTCATTCTAAAATAATTATAAAATCATTCCTTGAACTTTCAAAAATGTGGCATCAAGGTATTTTTGTGGCATCATGAAGTTTTTCGTACTTCTTACTTTCTACGTCAATTGAACTTTCCCATTTCCTTCGTTTTCTAAAGAGACATTAACAATTTCATGGAAAATCGTACTAGATAAAGAATATAAATAGTGGTGCTACATAATCACACAAACTTTCCCGTATTATTTCTCTATTTCCTTTTATCTCGGCTCGCTGTTTGGACTTGCCCCATGCTCTTGCCAGCTATCCATCTATCACCATCCAAAGTACATTATTTTGACATTTTCTTAATTTTTTGATTTCCTAACAATAGAACGGAAACATTATTTTAAGAATATTAAAGAATAGTAAAATATCGTCATAAATGGGAATTTTCTTTGAAAAAATTGGAGACATTTCTAAGAATATGACGTTTAAGCTGTAATGTAAATTCGAAATTTTAAACTTATATGTGTGTGTGTATATATATATATATATATATATATATATATATATATATATATATATATATATATGAGTGTGTATGTGTGTGTGTGTGAATTTTTAAAAAACCAAAAAAAATCCAAAATGACCTTTACGTCATATTAAACGGTTCAATTAACATTATCTGTTCAATATGTTTGAAGAAATAATTTAAAGCAGCTTTTGAGAAATGGCGTTTTAGCATTTTTGAAAAACCGGAATTTTGCGCTAGTTTTCACAGAAAACGGTTGAGTTTCCGAGAAACTCTATGTAACATTAATTAAAGCACATGATCTCATAAATATAATAATGCTAACGAATTGTCATTAATATTATGACATTAATGACGTGAGAAACAAGTCCAAAAAATTACATTTTTGTAATTTGTGTAAAAACAAAATAATACATCAATAAGACCTTTATGTTATCTTAAAGAGTACATTTAGCACTATCTATCTGAATTTTATTTTATCTCTGTCTTCAATTTTGTAGTTGTAGGAAGACGCTGATTAAATGCAGACTTTTACAATTTTTGAAAATTTATAGTTAACCGTGAAAATTGAATCTGTCACGTTTATAAGTGTATTTTTCTCTTTTCTTAAAATAAATTTAAAGAAAACATTTGGAGCTGTTTTTGAGAAAATTTTGAAAATGTACGGGGGTTTTATGTAAAGAACCCCTAAATTTTAAAGTTTTTTTTTTTCAAAATCTCAAGCTTTGACTCGAGCCAGATGGACACGGGTTTCTTCAATATGGAAAACGACCTACCTATGGATTAGTCGGTAGTGGTGTTCACGGACGGACGGGCATTTTGCTGTTAATTGGTATTTTCGATATTAAGGACCCACAGAACGGGGATTCTGGCTACACCACATGTTAGAGAACTCTTTTCCTTAATTTAGCAACTGGATTTATCCACTTTTTCCTTATCAGGGCCTGGCAATGATTTTTTTCTGTCGATGATCCGCCTCTTTTTCGCGCAGCTTTACATAACTCCCTACACTAGATATATTACTCTGTATATACGAAAAGTAAAAGCACCGTTCCGCATATGCTCAAAAAATGAACTGTACGTAACATTTTTTATCTCCTAAAAGCCCTTGTTCTTTATCGGACAGGGAAAGCAGTCACCAAACGCTGACTCCCAACTGACGCTGCGGAGTAAAGGCACTGGCGAATTTCGACGCCGCGGCTAGCGCGGAACTTTCGCCGCCCACTACCAATGTCTAACGCTCTCTGGGAGCTTAAAATTGTTTGAAGCACGAGTCATCCTGACCGGAAAATCAATCAGTCTCTTGATTTATGCACAGTTAAATTTGAATTAAGTGTACGACAAATTATTTAAAGATCTAATATTGAGCAATAAACTGCGTTTAGAAAGTAATATAGAGCTTTAATACTAGAGGTGTAAGACAGTATGAATTTTTCAATTTTCGAAATTTCAGCCTTTTAATTTAAAACAGACATGCACCAGTTTTATAAGGTTACACTCGAGCCAGAAATTTAAATCAAAAAATTTGAAGCAATTTTTAAGAAAATTTTGAAAATGTCCTTGGGGATTTATGTAAAGCAAAATTAAAACAACCGTTTGAAATTCGTGGGCCATGACAGTAGCCCCGATCGGAGAATATCCATTTGGGTGAAAATTCTATATACAGTTTAGGTTCACTGTCAAACAAAAGTCAAATGGACGCAGAGACAACAAGGTAGATCAAGAGGGAAGATAGAAGGACCTCCCAAAATGTATTTTCATTAAAATCTCGAGATCGACTTTTTGTAGCATTATAATACGAACCTAACAGTAGGCTAGTACATATATATTAGAAAGAAAAATAAACAGGTCAGAAGGAAATGACATGCATCATTTCTTACCTGTGCAAACCATAAACTTTTCTCTGGGTTGGTATTATCTTGTTTCTCAATGTACAGTAAGGAGGCTTTATCATATCCCTTTCCAACTTCAAGGGCATACAAATTTTCTATTTTGATTTTGGGACTATCTCCAACCAAATCAGCCTTCTCAATTAATTTGAAATCCCAAGCTCTGATGAAACCGTCAGTCCCTAAATTCAAGAAAATAATCATTGTGCACAAAATACCTTTAGTCTCATATTCCATTATGAAATTGATCTCTAAGAAATATAATTATTAAAACACGCTATAAAAAATAAGATCTAGATACTTAAAGTATTGAAATTGTTTTCTATTAATGAAATTTGTAATCAATAAATAGTATGGTGAGTCTGAAATAATAGAATTTCATAACTTATTAAAATAAAGGAATCATTTGATAAATTGTATGTCAATTGCACAGCAGTAGATTCACACTAGAATTATAAAGTAGGAAGAAAAAAAAAATTAATGGAAAAAGCAGCTCCTGCTAACCTCAACGAATCCACGATACTAATACAGTAAGGAATGGCTGCATTCAAGTTACAAAGATACAATGAAATTTTTTTTTTAATTTAATATGCTTGATGTAGCTGCAAATAAAAAAGATGTGAGAAATCTCCAATTCCTTTTGTTATTGATAATCATCAAGAATGCCTGTTCTGCAGAGACAATATCCCTAACAGCCAATAATTAATTTAGTTTTGCAGTATCACAGACTGGTTGACAGTAAGTTAACCCAGTGTTTTTAGCTGGAAATTTGTACTACAGAATGCTCAAAAAATTTAGGTGTGTGGTAAATTTTTATATCTTACTGTATTTCAAAAATATCACATTAAACAGGTTAGGGTTTATTTTTATTTAATATTATTACATTAATGAAATATTTGTTTTCGCAGACATAATATTATAGTATACTAGCAAATACTTGAGTTTGCCTAGACTTTCATCACATCTAATCCTTGTGAAAAAGGAAAAAGATCAATTGTATATAAACCATGTTTGTTAAGATTTCTTAAAATTATTATTATCAGTTCAAATTTTAATAAAATACTATACCTTCCTATCATTTTATTTCACAGTACATTTCAATTAAATTTTTTTCTTCTTTTTTTTTTCATACGCATTGCTCTTGCAACTCTATTAGGTACCATGCATTCTTGGTTATCCGAGATGAGCAGCATCTCAGTCAATTGTGCTGACAATTTGGCCATTATGCTGTGGTCTTCTTCACAGCTATACTGCAGATGTGGCTCATCCTGGATAGCCTATAATACATTGACTCCGGCCGCGGAAGCCTACGAACACCTCTTAGGTACCAGTTCTGTTGCACCACAGCTGGTATATTATATATTATATAGGGTAATATATTTCATACAGTTTTAATGTGTCTCTGCATCCTCATTTTTAACTCTGTATACTTTTCATCATCTAACCTCACTCCAAGGGTTGCGGTTTCCTAAACTTTTCTGGGGGTGTGGTAGTTAAACAATTAAGGTGAGGTATCAAGCCTCAACACGACTGCTAGGTAAACAAGACTGACAAACAAAAATATAAAAGTTGGTTTGAAAAAATGATTTCAAGGGAAAAAATGGAATTATAAAAGCACAGGAACACTCCAAAAAGACGTTAATTGTTTATTAATTACAAAAGAAATGAATATATTTGTTGAGAGAAAAATTAAGCGAGAAATAAAATAGCAGTTGAATTGAATAAATTGGGTGTGTTTTATTTCTGAGATAATTTTCCTTTCTGAACAAATATATTTCTTATGTAAATAATAAACAATATACATGTTTCTGGAGTGTTTCTATGCTTCTGTAACACAAATTTTCATCTAAGAATAATTTTTTCAAATCAACTTTTGAGTGCTTATTGTGGCTCATCCATTCAGTATATCCACATTGTTTATTAGACAAAATATGCTTAAAATTGTCTTAAGAGCTTATTTTAGAAGTTTTGATGTTTCCTCCCTGAACATAAACAGTTGTTCTGAAAGCCAAATTCAGAACAGCTACTATTACATTTAAAGTGCATTACACTAACTTGTTTTATTTTTTAACTTCTTTTAACTTTTCTTTCAAAGTTAACCAAGGTAACAGAAGAAAACCATGGATGAGAGAGAGAGACAGAAGTTCCCTTAAAATTTGACTCAATCTGTCTGTCTGTCAACAAAGACCCATGAAAATTCCTATATTTTAGCATTACTTACAGGAGGAGATTTTTCTTTCAAATACTGAACTCCAGAATTTTTGTCTTTCACCTAAACAAAATATTTGAAAAGTTCTAGTTTTTTACCAGTTAGAGGTTAACAGGTTTAACTATGTCAGGATGATCAATATTTTTCTCTGCAGAGATCAGTGATTCTTTCTTTAGCTGTTCTTAATCCCTACTATTTTATTTACTTTAGAAAGCAATAATATTTTGTGTATCCAAGCAGTATTACAATGCATTTACAATGCAATAACTTTTAAACCACAACATGTAGACCAGCCACACCTATCTCATTAAACCAAAACAAAATTTAATGTTTTCATATAATTGTTTTTTGTTAGTTGCATAAACTAATGGAACAGGAAATGTTCTACCATTGTACATGGCCCTCAAACTAGTTTTTGACAATTCAGCATATAGTCTTCTCCATAGTCATGATGATGAGCATCCATCACAGTGGGTATAATGTTACAGGTAACTTTCTTAAAACTTTTGCTGATAAGAATGATATGAGATCACTTTTAGTGTTTCAATGCAGGACATTCCATCTTTTAGTTAAGAATACAAAAACTCAGTCTGTGCTTTGGACAATTTCAAATCTCAAAGCTGATAACTGAATGACATTACTTTATCAGGTGATAAATGTGGGTGATAAAACCTTTTGCATTTTTTAAATTAACACAACTAATTGCATTAGAACCCACAAAAAAGTTTAGTGAGCCAAAAATTGTGTTTACCATTGAAAATAACTCATGCATACAAACTGATATCAGCAAAGATAACCCATACATACGATATTACACTTACCAATTGAGATGATTTCCTCATCCTTATCATCATACAATAATTGTGAAATATACCCTTCATGACAGGATGCTCCAGCTTTTCGGCACACTTCAGCCTTAACCAGCCCTTCATTCCAGATCAACATATTTCCCCATTCACAGCCTGAAACAACCTAAAAATGTTTTCAAAATTTATGTTGATTTTAAAATTCCCATAATTTTTAAATTATTAAATTAATGGTTAAATGTTTGCTTGGAAAGTATTTTATAGGTTCATTCTCCTGAAAAATATTTAAAATTTCATGGAAGAAATTGTAAAAGCCAATTTTATGAATTAAAAAACAAAGACCCCAATTATGGGATTGATGGAGTTAGAATTGAAAGTAAAAAGGTACAAATAAAGAACAAAAATAATATGTTGTAGAACTATTGAGAAATAGTTTTTCACAAATTTTTCTTGAAAATATTTATTAATATTTAAAAGGATTATGATTTCAAAAAACAATTCAAAGAAAAATATGTCATTCTCTCAAATGTCTCTTGTTGCAAAAGCTTTACAAGATGTCAATTTGAAACTAAATATCTACAACAAAATGCATTCTTTGAAACTAGACTTCAATAAAGCCTAAAAATATTGAGAACATCATCAAAAGTATCTTGATTTCGGAATCGCAATCATGTGCAATAATTGCACTACCTTCAAAAGTTCAGACTAGGGGGAAAAATGATTCTCCATTAAAAAGATGTCCACCTGTAAGAGTGATATGCCAAATCACTTTAGAAGTAAGAGTAGAAGACAGGTATTCAGACTTGTACAATCATGTTTAATATTATTGTTATGTAAGATAACTAACAGAATCTGGATATTTAAAACAAATGATTTTTGTTTAAAAAGAAATCTGAGTTTTTAATGAGAGCAATTTTGTGATTTTTCTTTTTCTTTTTTGGAAATGAAAAGTAGTGGACCCTTGATGAGTAATCACTTGCTTTTATTAACCTGTTTTATAGTTTATACATTAAACTAAGAACAATGGAGGAGAAAGAAGAGACCATAGAGAAAAACTGGAAAAACATACAGACAACAATCCTTGAGGCAGCAAAAGAGAGCCTAGGAACCAGTTACACCTCCCAAAAAAAGAAAAAAAAAATACCAAAAATTCTTACAAACAAAGACTGTAGCAAATCACATCAGTCACCAAAAAAATGGAGCAAAAGTAACAACCTGTTAAATAAGGAGGAGCAATTGGGACAAATATGTAAAATAACTGGAGAGGGACTTCATAGGACCATAAAAAGTAGTGGGAGGAACACTACAAAAGATTATGGTATGATTCAGAACAAGAAGATACAAACAATGAGATAGAAATAGTAACAGAAGAGAAAGAAGAGGAAGAACTAGGAAACATAATAGGCAACCTAAAGAACAGGAAGGGAACAGGAATAGTGTGAATAAAACTAGAAATGATAAAATATGGAGAACTGAAACTAAAAACCCAATTACTAAAACTAATAAAAGAGATAAAGAAAAATAAGACAGTACCCCAATAATGGAGGTCTTCAATAGTATACAACATCTTCAAAAAGGAAACAGAAAATGTGTAACAACTATAGGAGCATAAGCATAATACCAGTGACATTAAAAATATTTGCAGACTTTATAAGACAAAGACTAATCAAAGAAGAAAAAGTCATGGAATAGCAATGTGAATTTCACAAGGGGAGAAGTTCAATAGATGCAATATTCACACTCCAACAGATTATAGAAAAAAGAAAGAGCATAACTTACCAACATATATACTGCTCATTGACTATGAAAAAGCCTATGACAATGTGAATAGTCAGAAGTAATGGGAAATTCTGAAAGAAGAAATAGTACCCGAACATTTAAACAAAAATATACAGCACATGTTCCATAGCTCCAAAATACTTTTTAAAAATGATCAAGGCACAACACAGCAGATGAAGATCAACAAAGGTCTAAGACAACGATGCTCACTGTCATGACTACTCTTTAACTTTTACTTGAATCACATGACAAAAATATGGAAACCAAAAATTCAAGCAGGAATAAAGATAACAAACCATCAGAAATTAGTGACAATATTATTTTCAGATGACCAAGTTATAATAACAGACTCAGAAGACACTACAAAAAGCAGCCTTCGAATTAAGCAAATGAAACCAAATAACACCAAATGAAAATATCAAGCCAGAAAACTAAAACACTAGCTTTCTATGGCAAAGAACATCTTAGAGCCAAAATACTAATAGAAAATTCAATAATTGAACAAGTTACCACTTTTAAATATCTCAGAAATTCAATTGGATTGAACTAGAAGGATATAGAAAAAAATACAAAAATATAATAGAAACAAAGAGACATTTTGAACATTTGAAAAAAGAAACAATGATGAGAAACCATAATATTACATCAAAACCAATGCTTAAGTATGGGTCAGAAATGTGGATAATGGGTATTAGGGAAACCAGAACCATAGAAGTAGCTCAGATAAGGGCAGAGTTAGGAGGGCAGTGTTAGGAGTAATAAGAAGGGACCAAATTCAAAATGAAACAATTAGGAAAGAACTAAAAACAGGAAACTTAGCAGAAGAAATAAAAAAATTAACAAAGGAAATCGAGAAAACACATGAAAAGAATGGACAAACGACTTTTACCACAGATGGCATAAATTATAGACTTAATGGCAAGATTGATAGAGGCAGACCGACAAGAAGATGGCCCCAGCAGAAATACTTCACCACATGAATGAGTACTGCTTTACTACTCACTAACAGGACAGGAGCTCTGCTCCTAAATCAAGGGTGTTGATGATGATGATGATGATGATGATGATGAACACTAAATTTTAATATCTTAACATTAATAGGAAGAACACATCTGCCATCATTTGTTTAGTGTGTTATTTTCAAGACCGATTACATTGTAGTTGGTAGAGGTCATTTTGTTATATGAGTTGTAATTGATGTATTGAAAGCAGTTGACATTGTGTTTATTGCGAGCAAGCACGCAAGTTTGAGGCAACAAGTGTTAGCAAAGCAGAGATGATGAGTTTTTTATATTCAAAGATCAATGAGCATTTTTAAATGCAAAGGTTCATGAGTGCATATAATTGCAATGTCCAGCAGTAGTTTCACATGTCTTTACAAAATATTTCAGTGATTATAAATGTATGCTTATTGCATTATGCTTTTAATTTATGGTTGAAAGCAGGATTCCCTTGTCTCATCGACATTTTACACGAGCCACTCTTGGTAAACACTGAACATTTCAATTAGTACATTTCCAGAACATGATTGACTTTGTGTTCATAGTGAAAAGTAATTCTATTGTTCCCAAATTTGGAACAATATTTTGGGGATCTTTGATATAGTATTGTACTATTTTTGATTTTAACCTTTCTTCAGATCTGACTTTTGCATGATGAAATCACAAGGGTTCAGCTTATTTAATGAAACATTATGATGAGCAAAGAATTTTTTGACAAAAATGGTTACGCATGGAATTATTTAAAAAGAAAATACACATCCAACTTAACTTAAAAGCAATAATGCATCGCATAATTGCTCACTGAAAATCAATCAAAATATTCCATAAGAATCATTATCATAGTATTAAAGTGTATATGCTTCTTCACATTCAAAATCTTGAGTCTCCTAAAAGACTTTCTGAATCTGCCCTTGTTACATACACAGTTTTGGAATCACCTTGGTCTGTGTTTCAAGAGACCCAGACATCTCAAAATGACAATGGCACTAGTGTCTATATGCACACACAGAGTATTTAATAGGGGGAACAATGTGTTGCCATCTCCATTATTATGACTACCTATAAAAGTAACTTAAGGAAGATGAAGGAATAATCACTAAATAAACATAAATACCTATGTCCACCGTGGAACTTGAACAAATGACCCTTCATTTAAGACAGTTAGGCACTCCCACTTTAGTGACCTTGGCTTGCAGAATCAGCACATGCTATTCTGTGAGATTACTTTTAACCTTCTTAAAAAGTTTCATTAAATAGATATCTACTTTGGATTATATTATTTGTTAGATGATTCTGAATTAAATAGTATATTAAAAAATGTATACAGTACATATTCATAAAATTATTTCTTTTAAGTACTCACCTGTTCATCAGGTAAGGCAATAAATCCAATGATGTCACACATTTCAGTTTTTCCAAATCTTCCAATCTTACCCATTAATTTCAAACCTGTGAATGTTTTAGCTAACTTCCAAAATTTGATGTGACCATATCCTAAAATAAACAAGGAAAAAACAAGTAGACAGAGTTTCTATAGCTGAGATACTTGTCTATCTGTTTTAAAATTTTTATTTGCGGCTTATATCTGAATTTAAGCATGCTTACTAGTAGGATTTGGTATTAACAAAGTATTTTTTTTTTTAATCTTATATTATTAATTTAACCCAACATGCACTTTTTTCTTCTAAAAACAGAAAGATATGTCACATCATAACTCATGAACTGTTAATAATTTTTTGATGATTATTTTTCTTTTCTCCTATTCATACATGTATATTTAGTTAAGAGACAGTTATGTAATGCTACAGCCCTTTTTCACACAAACTTTTTGAGTATTCAGAAACCTTCATTGAAAGGTATTGAAAGCCTTTTCATTTACAAATGCAATTCTGTATAAAATCTGCTGGAAATGTGAATATTAACAGCATAAGTGATATTTTCAAAAAATTACAATTTTTGAAGAAAAGAAAAAGAGTACCTCAAAATGTACTTGTATAAAATGTACCAAAGAAATTGAAGAAAAAATTTAGAGCCATTTTTGAGAATAGACCATTTCTGAAATTGTGGGATTTTGTGCTCATTTTCACAGAAAACTGTTGAGTTTTTGAGAAACTTTATGCAACATTATTTAAAACACACGTACTCATAAATACAATAATGTGAACAAATTGTATCTTGTGTAAAAATTATTGACATAAATATTATCAATGTTAGCCAAAAAAATTACAATTTTGTAATTAAAAAAAAAAAGAATAGACTAATAAGATGTTTATGGCAGCTTATGAGTGCATTCAGAACTATCTTTACCAAAATTTTAAAGAAAAAATTGGAGCTGTTTTTAAGAAAATCTTGTTTTTGTTCTTTTTTCTATTGTGCAAAAACTACTAAAATTACCAAAAAAATGTAGATGTCCTTAATGAAAAAATAAGTTTCGAAGAAAAAAGTTTTTACTTGAAGGAAAAATCTCTCTTCAATTCTGTAGTTGTAGGAAGATGCCGCAAAAAACTCAAACTTTTGCTATTTTCGGAACTGTGCCATCTTCATAAGTGTATTTTAGTCTATTCTTCAAAATATTTAAAGTAAAAATTTCGAACCAATTTTGAAAAAAAATTTGAAAATTTTCCTGAGGCTTGATGTAAAGTACCCCCAAATTTTAGTATTAGTTCTCTATTTTCTTTGGTCTCGTCTCCCAATATGAACTTGTCACTTACTCTTGCCAGCTGCCATCTATCAGAGCCCAAAATATTTTTTTCTAATTATCTTCAATTTTCGATTTTCCTAATTGTTGTACGGAAATATTATTTTAAGAACATTAAAGAACAGTATAACCTTGTCCTAAATGGCAATTTTCTTTGAAAATTTTGGAGATCTTTTAAAAAAATGGTGTTTAAGCCTTACTGAAAATTCGAAATTTGAAGTTCTTTATCACAGAAAATTTTGGAGTTTTTGATCAAGTTCATTTGAAGAATTTTGACGCACTTAAACTCACAAATAAAATTGTGTTTACAAATCGCTGGAAATGTGCATACTAACGTTGTGAGAGATCTTTTAAAATAAATTACATGTGGGTAATTTTCAAAAAAAAAAAAAAATACTGTTGAAAAGTGAACTTTATATCTTATTAAATAGTGCAATTAGCACTATCTGTTCGAAAAGTTTGAAAAAGAAATTTCAGCTGTTTTTGAGAGAATGGCGTTTGAGCATTTCTGAAAATGCAAAATTTTGAACTAGTTTTCTCAGAAAACGTTTTTTTTGAGAAACTTTACATGACATTATTTAAAGCACATCTACTAAAACTACTATATACTAAAGCACTATAGATATAATAATGCGAACAAATTGCCGCTAATATAAGTATTAACGATGTGAGAGAGAAATCACAAAAATTACATTTTTTTTATTTTTGAAAAAACAAAAGGATAAAGCAATTTGACATTTATGTCATCTTCTATAGTGCATTTATCACTATCCTTACCAAAAGTTTAAAGAAAAAAATTTTTTGTAAAATCATGTGTTGGTATTTTTTTTAATTGCAAATATTGCATGCAAATTTGCGCGAAATTACTAAAAGCTTTTAAAAAATGTACATGACTTTAATCAAACAACTAACTATTAACAACAAATTTCATATGAAGGAAAAACTCTATCTTCAATTTTGTAGTTCTAAGAATACGTGGAAAAAATTCAAACTTGTGCAATTTTCGAAAATTTAGAGATAGCTGTCAAAAGCTAACCTAGGCCACCTTTATAAGTGTATTTAACTCTATTCTTATAAGAAGTTTAAAGAAAAAATTGTGAGCCTCTGAGTTATGCCTCAGGCTCCAGAAAAATAACAACTACTCTTCTATTATGATTTGTTGTAGAGTCCATCTTATAGTAATGTTTTTTGTAATATTATAATAAAGTGTTGCGGAAAATATACCTGCTGTTGTCAAATTCCCAAGAGAATAATCAGAGAACATTGCATTGAACACATCCTGCCCATATGCCTTCTGCTGCCTTAGAATTCTGCCTTTTTTCCAGTTCCACACCGTTAGAAAGTAGTCTGGTTCACACCCTTGGGAGCATAGAAATCGACCATCTGGGCTACAAATAGTAACAAAATGCAACATTGTAAAAATTTTCTAACATAATGAACTTTCTAAATATAATCAACTAGTTGGTTCCATGATGAGTAGGGATGAATATGCAAAGGATGTGGGTGACACTTATTCGAAATTATCTCTTATCATCAGCAGCAGCTTAGATAGAGAGATAGAGGAGAGAGAGAGAGAGAGAGAGAGAGAGAGAGAGAGAGAGAGAGAGAGAGAGAGAAAGAGGGGGGAGAGATAAAGAGATAGAGGGAGAGAGGAGGTAGAGAGAGCGCGAGCGAGTGAGAGAGAGAGAGATAGGGAGAGATAGAGAGAGATAGAGAGATAGGGAGAGATAGAGAGAGATAGAGAGATAGGGAGAGATAGAGAGAGATAGAGAGAGAGAGAGAAAGATTTCATTCGGAGAATAGATGAAGTCATCGAATGTGTGTGTGTGTGTATGCGTGAATGAGCAGGTGCGCGATCGAATGAATTTTAGTATAAACAAGTTCCTACCTGCAAATTGTATTGTTAATTTGGTTATTTTTTATCACAATTATTGAGAGTGGGAACGATTGAGTATTTATGTGTGTCATCGTGCTATGACTTATATATACCTCTAATTTTGTAAAATGTTGGATCTTGTTAATAAATTAATTTAATAAGTTAAGTTAAAATAAATAAATAAATGAGGTGTCTGAGTGTAAATTTTCTGACATTTTCCAATATAATTTTATTGGATTTTGTGAGACAGAGAGAGAAGCACTGCTGACAGTCCAAGTGGATTCAAGAACAAACAAGACATGGCAATGATAATTCATTAGTACCTAATGGCATGTAATACTTGTTTCATGGAAAAAGTTACATCAAATTGCATTTTCTCACAAAACTTAAAATTTCTCTTAAAACTTAAAATGTCAGATATTATTATTTACACCCAAACATGTCAAAAAATTATTTTATTGAGAAGGAACAAATTCATTAATAAAAGGAATAATAAAGGAGAGAAGATGACAAAAAGAGACAGAGGAGAAGAGAGAAACACAGAGGATTTTTCTTTTTTCCCCCTTCCCATGTGTTTGATAACAAATACAATACACAGTATTTAACTTTTGTTTCTTTATAATATTTTGGTAGATAGTTGATGTAAAATATTTCATCTGCTTTCACCCAGAATTTTCTTTTGAACTCACATTTTTCAAGCTTACCTGTAATGCAAACAAGCAAAAGCTCTTTTAGCACCTCCACGAAGAACACGAATATGTTCCATAGAAGGCCATTCATAAATAATAATTAGAGGATTTAGTCCTTTCTCTGCTACTGCAACATGTGGGTATTTTGGATTTGGATTTTTCTGTGGAGCAAAGAAACATTAATAAGTACTTAACAATGTGAATTACTGTGTCTTAATTTCACTGCCACAACTTTAAACTCCAAAGGATTTTCAAGTACAATTTTAGGATTATGTAATAACCAGTTTGCCATTACATGACTTCTATATTATTTCAAATTTATATTTGAAATAAGATAAATAGTGCTATAATCTTTATGATGAAAAATAGTGATATCTATTTTAGCAATGTGAGGGTCTGGCTCTGTTGAAGCTGCCCTCACCTTGCTACAAGATAAAGGAAGAAAGAAGAATGAATTTCCTAGACCCAACTGATAAGCCCCATACAAATAAATTTTATCCCTTTCTAACATGTATTTGCATGATGTCCCATACAAATAAATTTTACTCCACACATTGAATACTTATAATTAAAAAAAGAATTTAAAAGATAATAATACAGTTCATTATTATTTCACATTCATATTATCATTACAGGTGAAACTGTGATTTTTGTGATTTTAAATTTTATCTAAAATGTCTCCATAAGCATTGTTCTACTACAAAATTGTATAATGGTCTGCTACGACAAACATGTAAAAAATTTCATGAATTTTTAGCAATTCTCATTTATACCTAATGAATTATTATTTTTAACATTAATAAATAATAGAAACTTCAAGCAATGGGCTAGTGAATTTAATATTTATATTACTTGTACTTACTACAATGTGACCGATACCACCTCCTCTAGCAGTTCGACGAAATGTGACTTCTTTTGTCTTGATGTCAAAAAAGTGAATGTAATTGCCAGATGCAAAAATTATTGTATTCGGATCGGGAATACACAAATTGTAGTGACGTCTGCAGTCATATCCAAATGAATGGCTATTTTTTTCTTAAAGAATAAATACTACTGTAGAGAGAAATGTTTTTGCAATTAAAGAGAACATTGAATAATTTTTTGCAGGGCTCCAAAAGACAAAATCCATTGGTATAAAGTCTCAAGATCTGGATGCCATTTTTCTTGACCCTTCCAATAACTTTACCATGCAACAATTCATCAATGTAGTTTCACCCAACTACTGTACAATAGGGTCAAGTATCATAATGTTGAATGCATAGTTCAGTTAAAATTTTCATTATTCATTTGTAGCGCTGAGGAATAAGGAGCTAATTTTCCAAACATTTCCTGATATTTCTTTCCAGAGACTGTACCATTGAAAAACCAAGGTTCAGTAACTCCAAAGCAAGATATTCCACCAGTAGAGCCACTTTGATTCAACTGCTTCTCAAAAACACTTCTATGGTTCTCTGTAAACCTATAGGTAGGGTTGTATCTGTTGATATGATCTGTTAATTCAAAAGTTGCCTCATCACTCTTAAGTTATCTCAGAAAACAACTCTTCACCATTCTCATTCCTGTTAACAGAACCTTGCAAAATTGAATCCTAGGATTGTGGTTATCTTTGAATAGGCCAATGCACAAGATGAGGTGTGTAATACATGAATTTAACCTAATGTAAAATCTTCTGATAAGAAGCTCTTGTAACATTACGTTAACAAAAGAGCCTACAAATAGATTTTTAGGACTTTGGATAACCGTTTGTAATATGTTTAGCTTTGTTCCATTAGTTAATGATAACCTACTTGACTTGGGCAAGACCACAGCAGAATCAATAGCCTCAAAATGTTTTCGTAAATTGTAGACTGTTAGCTAAAGAGTATTTAAATGTTTATTCCACTTATTATAATTATTAACTATAATTATTATAACTTTAATTATTATATTGTAACCACCTTTCTACCTGATTTTTAAAACAAAAACACTTTCTTCTGTTATAAACATTTTCACAATTGTGAATAAATAACGGCATAAGAACATCAGCTGTTTTACTGAGTAACACTGTACATTAGTGCTTCAGAAAAAAGCACATATATTTGCCAAAGACCCTTAATGAAAAATAGTACTTCATAAACCAAGTTATCTTAAAGTTTAAAACAGGTTGTAACTTTTGAATGACATGTTTAACAGTCATTAGTCATAGATTCTGATGTCTATTAAAATGTGAATCAATTTCAGTTACACTACATGCAACAATGCTTCAAATAAAAAAAATACTTTAATTTATGTCCAGAAAATTACATTTTTACCAATTTCTGATCACTTTTTTAATTGTTTTCTATCTTGTATTTGATCAAGATGTTTTAAATGACATGAAATCTTAAGGAATGTTTGTTTAAATGAAGCATACTTTTTTTCCATCAAAATTCTTTAAAGGTGGTTCAGATTTCAAAACATTGTTTGGCAATTGATGATGTGATGAGTAATATTTTAAACTCTGCAATTAAGAGACAAATAAGATTTTTTATATATGTGAAATGCTTCTTTTAATTCATAATTAACTACTCTCATTGGATAAAAATTTCTTTTGACAAAGCTACAAATATCATTAATTATTAGAATGCTCACAACCTTCATTTTGGAGTGGCAATTCTTTCCCAATCGTTTAAGTGGTTTTCTTCTTAAAACATTCTGATCTCTAGTTTGAAACATTTTCTAAAATTCTAAAAATTACAAATTTATTTTCAAACCTTCAGAATACTTCAGAACTTTCAAATGTTAGAAAGGGATGAAACAGCCTCAGACAATGCTTTGGTAGTTTCAACAATGTGTTAGGAAAGTTGGGGACTTGCAAGACATCACTAAATAAGAAACCCTGGTTTAATAAGTTCTGTAGTTACAGCCTTGAAAAATTGGTCAAAAAAGTGCACCAAAATGGGGAGTCAGATAGCAGGAGAAAGTATTCATATTTTATTGTTCACTGATGATCAAGTTGTGCTTGCAGAAGATATAAATGATTCTTCCTACATAATGAGAAAACTTGTAGAGGAATATGAAAATCGAGAAGACTCAGTTTTTGGTAGTTAGCGTTTTATGGGAATATATAATCCTAGAGGGTTCTAGGATGTTTATGTATTAAAAATGTAAAAGTTATTAAGAATTTAGGAATAATCTTGACTGAAAAATAGTATAGATCAAGCCGATATTTCATGAAAAATCAGAAATAGTAGACAAATAATTTATAAATTTAATCCAACTACTTAAGGATATCAGAACTAAAACAAAACTCCATCAGTCTAAGTCTTTGATAGAGAGCACAGTAACATATGGCTATGAAATTTGAGTTCTTAAACAAGCGCTGAAAAAGGAATGAAAACAATTTTTGGAGAAGATGCTACAGACTCACACAATTTGATCATGTAAACACAAACAATAAAAAGACAAATAAATTTAGGAGGATGTTAATGTGATGTTGAAAAGAAAATATCATTATAGTACGGCTCAGAAAGAAAGGATGGATTCAGACAGCCCAAAAGTGTTATGAATGGACGCCAGCAAGACAGAAGAAACGAGGACAACCAAGAGTGAAATGGGAGGTGAAATGGTGTGTAATAGTGGCAATGGAAAGAAGAGATGTGTTACAAGACACTTGGCATGACAAACAAAAAGGTGTCTTCAAAGGACCTGATGTAACTGACAAAGTGGTCACATTGGTCTGTGAAACATTGTACCATGTCATACAATAAACTTGTTGTGAATTTGACTGTCTATAATTGAAAGATAATATAACTATAAAATTTAGACAGATGGTCACAAGAATAACTTTATTTAAACAAACTAAACTATAAAAAAGTAAAAGTAAATTATTTTCAGCCTTTGATATATGTAAATAGAGACATACAATTTGTTAAAAATGATAGTTTTGACAGAGCTAGAATTGATATTATTAGTAATATTCAATTAATTAATGTCAAGCATAAACATGCTTTCATTACTTGCATCAAAAATAGTAAGTAATTGTAGAACATTTGGTGAGAGCAAAAAATGTATATCTGTTGCAAACTGCATTTGCTCAATGAGTCAAGGGCAGTGGCATAATGTTCAAGTCCACAATGCAGGTGGGCCAAGATAAAAGAGGGCCTATTTTTACACTAAAGATTTTGCAATTGTATGAAATATTAATTACTTAATACTTTTTCTAAAAATGTGTGATAGTTGATACAATAAAAGATTAAAACAGCATCTTCCCGAAGAATGTTTTTTTTTCCTCTTAGCTTGTGTAACCCTATTTTTAAATTAAGATAATCTGTTAGTAATATTGGTTTCCTAATTAATTATCATAGACTGATGAAAATTAATTTGTTAAAGGATATTTTTATCATTTAAGGTAGTAACACTACTTGTGTTTGTTTTATAAAGAGGGCCCAGTTAAAAGTTTTGTAGGCAGGCCTGCACACATTTTGTTATCCTACTAATCAAGGGAATCTTTACACAAAAAAAAACAATCAAAAGAGACAGGTGTCATTGCCTCAAATTACAATATTTTCAAATGTCAATAATCTAAAGGTGGAAATGAGTTTTAATTGAGTTGAGTTAAAATATAAAAAGTATCAAAAAATTTAACAAATATCAAACTTTAAATTATAGGAGTTATACATTTTGTTTACACAAGTATAACATTTGGATTAACATATATACCATAAACATTGGAATGATATTTAGCAGAAAGTTTCTGATGAATCAGAATATAAATATTCTTATTCATTTTCAGATGTTTCTCATATTTGTATATTATTTCCGAAATGGCCAACAGACAGTCGTGACAAGCATACAGTAGCAAAAAACTGCAAAATTTGCTTTAGAGTGAACAATAATTTCAATTCATTCATAAAATATAAACCATAAAAAACTAAATTATTATTCTTGAGGATAATAAAATAACACATAAAAAAGGATACTAGAATTCAAGAAAATTTTCTGGTACAGTAGAGTCCAGGGATAAATAAGGTCCTGAAATGTAATCTTCTTCCTCCTCATCTTCATATTCTTCATCATCTTCATCATCATCATCTACTTGCAAAGACATTCTTTTTTCTGCTCTAAGTTCTGCTCTTAGTTCCCCTTCTTTTCTTTCTGCATATATATCTTCTTCTTCACTTACCTCTTCTTCATTTTCATCATGTACTACATCTTTCTTATCCAGCACTTTTAAACCTGCCTTTTTAATTACTTTTCCACCTTCACCTTCTTTCTCTTCTTCTCCATATTCTTCATCTTCATATTCATCTCCCTCTTTTTCTTCATAATCTTCTTCCTGTTCTCCCAGCTCTTCATTAGCATCCCTTTCCCTTTGTTCATTTTCATCTCCTCCCTCATCATCTTCCACTATTTCCCCTGGGGTCTCACTTTCTTTTCCCCCTTCATCTTCTGTTGTTGGCTCTAAATCGGTTTCGGACATATCGAAATATATTCAGCCCAGAGAAAATATCTTTCACTGAAATTCCCTCTTTGAGAACAAGTATGGAGCTTTTCAATAAACAACGTTGTCATAGAAACATGGATGTGGATTTTTAATTTCATATTATAATTAAATTTTAGTCGAGCATGACAATATCGTGAGCTTTAATGTTTATTCGTAACTAGAAATAGACTAAATATAAATTGGAGTACTTGTCGACACTACTTGTCATTTATTTCACGCGGTCAACAGCTTTCAGAATGGACCAATGATACAAAGATTACAGTACGATTTATTTAGTTGTACACTTGACGTAAATATGGTGTTACCGTTTCATCCAATCGGGAGCTTTACGTCCTATAGTGACGTCACTACGGTGACGCTTAAGCTCCTGATTTGATGAAACCATGAACAGTTGATTTACGTCAAGTGCATAATCGTACTTTATGCATATTCCAACGATCTCCAATGACGTTTCCTTGGTTCCGCGCACAACCAGTACGTCATGAGTCCCAAGATTGAGAAGAGCGAGCGTCTTGATTCGAACGTAAGAGAAATGGGCAATGCGATGGGGCCGTCCATAAATTACGAAACGCTGAAGAGGGGAGAAGGGGTTTGAGGCAGCGTTACGCTGCGCTACATACGGGCAAGGGGATTAGTGTTACGTATTATTGATTTTCTTTACATTTTTTAACATTTGTTGAAATACTTTTTTACTAAATACTAATTTATACTAAAATATTATCTAAATACTAATATATACAAAATATAAACAAAAATATTATCTGATTGTGCTGTTTTAAAACATAAGTAATTGGAAGTTGTTACAAGAATTTAAATATTTTTCCATCAATTTTGTATTGAATCTGTACGTAAGATAATGAAGAAAATATTTAAAATTGTTCTGTAGTATTTTGTAGAATACAATTAAATTGGCGCAGTAGATTTTCTGGCTCATGCGCCGTCCAAAACGGCGACGTGTGCACGGTTTGTGATCAGAAGTTTTCTCATCTTCTCTCAAAATTTGTTGTGTCCAATCTTATTGTTAGCTGCAGTCAGCATCAACTACTAATTCCGATTTTAATTATCATAAATTTTAATATACAACACAAATAAAATGAATATTTTTTTACTGAGCTATATTTTATTTTCACTTTTTGCATTTATAAGGAGGGATTGTCGCAAGTATTACATAATTATTTATGAGTTCAATGCCGCGTTACGGGTGCGTTACACGGGGGAGAGGGGGTATTGAAAATACTCCAAATTTGCGTTACGTAATTTATAGACGGCCTCTGAGTGAAACAATTTAAAGTCAATTATTACGATTTTAAAAATAATCTATAAAATACAAAAATCAAAATTTTAAAAAATGGTTCTATACTGGTTCTTAAATATGGCACATTAAGTATAATTGCCCTCTCTTTGTACACATTTGAAATTCCCTCTTATTTGTGTTCACATACTATTTGAGTATTTATTGGTTGCATTGCGGGAAGATACAACATGTGTCATCTTTCTCTTTGGATCCAGAATGGACCATTGGAAATAAACAATCTAGGATTATTTACATTGAAAATACACGCCACTAGCACCAGCGAGCACTCGAGTACTTTAATAGTGATGGTATAAAAAAATATATTAAAGCAAATACAAAAATTTAAGATTTTGAAAGAATTAAATGTCAATGTATTTTACTATCGGATTTATGCCGAAGTCTTTGGATTTATGTAACATATATATTACAGTGTGTTTATATTGTTAGTGTGAAAACTATCGTACCAAAATGATTTATTGGAATCAATCCAGTGTTGCCCAACTCTTGGTGTTGACTATAAAATACTCCTTGGTGTTGACAGTTTGAAAACGCGTTGCCATAGCAACGAAAAACAAGTGGCGCAATTTTATGATGACCTAATGAATTATTAAGTGTCATAGTTGAAGGTTATTAAACATATTTTCAAAAAGTATCCAAAATGCCGGAAGAAGGGGCAGAGGGCACGACCGCTGGTCCATCCAGTGGAGATGCTGCACCAAGAACATCAGTTGTAAGTATTTTAATTATTATAGTTGGTGCTACTCATGTAATTTCATTAACAATTATAATAGAAAATATAATATTTTAATAGTATAGAAGGCAAAAAACGTCAGGAATGTATAACAGTGACTATTAAAACGTGGAGTTTTATGGTAATCTAAATAAAAAATCCATGTTCCAAAGGGTGATTTACATGCATAGAGAATTAGGATGTACATTGTTTTCAAAAGTTGTACAGTATTATTTTCATGTGATCTGCAATTAAAGCTTGTGTAATTAATATTTGATGATGAATCGCAAGCACTAGGCACTAGCACTTTATTGAAATTAGACAATCTTCAACCTTTGAACTTTCCTTCCATTTAAATAAGCAGTCCACCAATGAATTTGAGTTGCCAAAAGCTGAAAATTCAACAATATTGGGATAGGGTGATTTAATAATACATTATATGTAAACAGAGGCATTACATATGAACAACTATTAGAGTTAGATCCTGGAAAATACGTTCGCCTGCAAGATATTTTGTAGTTGTTATGAAAAAATGAAGAGTTGAAGTAGGGTGTTGGTATGAAAAGAGATTCTAATGAGTGAAATTCTACTTTATTTGTTGATTTTGACAGAAATTTTGTGGAATTCTGATTTTTAACATAAGGAGAAAGAATGAAATTTCCACAATGTGTATGTAAATTTCCACAATTATAAATGAGCTTCAAATATTAAGCACACATCTGTCAAGGATTATTTTTCCATTATCAGTGAATTTTACAGCTTTCAACCAAGTACTGTGCAATATTTAAAAAACACTTTAACATGTTAAAAATTAGATTGAAAATAATAATTTAATAATAATAGTAATTAACAAAAATAATAATTTTCAAGATGAACACCATTTTGCAAATTATTATTTTTGGTGTTCATATATTTAAATCGCTAAAACTTTTTGTTTCAAAAAGAATTTGAGCTTTCTAACAAACAAAATTTCATGATTTTTCCTTTAAAAGAAAAGGAGCGGGCCCTAGATGTGTGCTTGCATACGTTAACTGGTTTTGCAGCAAAATACAAAAAATTAATAATAGATTAAAATTAATATATTATTATTATTTAATGAATGCTTATCTGATGACATATTTGAGACATCTTAAAAGATAGATATATCATATGATCAGATATGTTCTTTCTCCCTTCCACCTCTCTTTTTTACTGGCTTCCATTGTTAATATTCAAAATAATGTCTATTTTGTACATTGGCCCGCTCCCTTTCTGCCCAGACATACCTCTCTCTCCACACAGTCCACATTTGAAATTCCCTCTCATTTGTGGCTCAAATGTGTGTGATGAGGCTCATTGTGTGTGAGTTTATTGGTTGCATTGTTGGAAGATGCAACATGTATCACGTTTCTCTTTGGATCCAGAATGGACCTTTGGAAATAAACAATTGAGGATTACTTACAATGAAAAAATGCGCTACCAGCACTAGCGAGAACTTGCATGAGCACTGAAGTACTTTAATAGTGATGGTATAAAAAAATATTTTAAAGTAAAAGATTTTAAGGGAGTTAAATGCCAATGTATTTTACTATGGCTTTTATATGCAAAAGTGTTTGTATTTATACAGTGAGGATTTCTCTTATAAGGGAAATTTTCCTGGTGCATATTACCTATTAATGAAATATAAATATTGATCATATTAAATTAAATATAAGTATTAAAATATTAGTTAATTTTATACTTTTTAATAAAGTGTTTTATAATATTTTTGTGATGAAATATGAATTAAATTTTGAATGTCACTTCAATTTCAGTCAAAGAGCCATAAGATGAGTGCAAAACGTGTACCAAGTCGCATTGAACAGTCTGTTGACGTTGGAGGCGATGATATTGACTCCTGGCTGAAAGCAAAAACTGTCCTGAAACCAGAAGACCAACTGGAGTTAACTGATGTGGTATGTTGTTTCTTAAGTGAATTGGTTCAAACTATTAACAATGTTTGTTCAAACTATTAAACTTAGTTGATCAAAAATAGACAAAATATAAAATGAAAATTAATTGAGAATGAACAAATAACAGTTAGAATTCTTTGTAATGTGATAATGTCGGTTTTTCTTTAGAATATATTAAATATCACCTTAGCACAATTTGTTAATAATATTTCCATAATGTTTACAATTTTTTTCATAAGATTATGTGGTGTTATTTTATACTTCTGAGTTAATCAGCTACAGTTGTACTTGAATTTCAAAATGTTGATAAATTAGAAAAATCTCTGGAAGATTATTTCTTGGAAATGAAAAGTTGAGTGTCAGGTTATCCCTGAACAAGTTAACATATGTCTAATCCTATTACATAGCAAGTCTTATAATGAAGTAAATATAGATCACTTTTCTGACAAGAGAGGAATTCTACGTAATACAATGTCTCCCAGGCCTGATATATTGGTAAAGTTTGGTCTTAAACCAATGATTGCAAACTCAATGCTCTATGACATCTTGGACACTTCCATTCCTGTTCACTGAACTGCATAGCAGGTGTTTGTGTAATACTGTGTAGAAAAATGGAGAAAATTAAGCTTTAAAATTTTTCATTGAGAAAATTTATATATTTTAATTATTTAAGTGATGATTAGTATAGACAGTTGTAATGACACAATAAGATAAATTAAATAATATAATACAGGGTACATAAGTACATTGAACTCTGTTTATCATTAGCATTACTGTGAGATCACTTATCTCTCCTATTAAATACCATTTTCAGGGTGCAGTAGTTTTTATATCTATATCTATACCTATATCTATATATATACACACATACATATGCACACAGACACACCCTCAGGAACCAATCTTCTCTTGAAGACCTACATAACCTTTTAATCATAAATGAAAAAGAAAGACACCCTCTGCTTTCACAAACCTAATCATTTCAGGGTCCAAACAAATAAGAGTTTGCCAAGAACAGCAGAAAAGAGGATTTAAGAAGTGTGAGATTAGTAAGTGGAAGAAATATCACACTGGAATATGGAGCAGAGGTCAAGCCAATGCTTGACTCCGGGTGTGTAGGCGAGGATTGAGTTTAGGTAGTATGGTACACCGGTCAAAGGAAGTGGGGCAACACCATAAGCAGGGTGGCTAATCTCTGAAGGTAGATCAGCTCCTCACTGGGATTGTATGGAGTGTCTATCCATAACTCAATGAATGTAGTTCCTTCTGAGACAATTAATGTTTACAAATACACATTCGAACAAAGTGCAGCATGAATGACAGTTGCTCTGCAATACCATATTTTTATATTTTATGTATAATTCATTTACTTTTTATTTATTTAAAAAATCTGTATTTTCCTATTCCTTACCTATCTTTGGTCTTTTGAAGCAAGGAAAGAAGGTGCAGATACATGTGGGTTGCAAACTCACACTTATCAACAAGCTTCTGACAACTAATTTCTTTAGCATGATTTACTTCTTTTCAGAGAGAATAAAAGTGTTCTCATTTCTAGGACAACAATACAAAAATGCATAAAATTCTAGCAGCCAATTGGCTGTTTTCTAGGCATTAAGTCAGCAAGAGATAAACTGTTATTCCTTAAAGAATGCAGTTTTCTTGCAACTAACTGTGCTAATTTTGTAGTGAAATTGAACATGATATTCACTTGTGCCCTCATCTATTGCACTCTCTTTAAATTTTTCTTTGATTGATCAATTAGTGAATCCCGTACGTGTAGTGCATTTTTTTTCTCGTGAGAGGTGGCAATGATCCTTCCTTGCCCAGCACCGTCAGCTAGCGGGATTTTCCCCTACCAGGTGTCTCTGACTAGCAGAGCACCGCCCCAGCCAGGATAAATTCTAAGCTCCCAACCAACCACCCGGCAAGTGTGGTAGTGTGTGTAAGGGGTGAGGATTGGTCAAGGAAGGAGAAGGAAAGATTGCATGCTGTCAGTGGCTGGTTTGTTTGTGTTCTACAATAGCATTCACCTGGTATTGATCAGAGAAACCACAGAAAACTACCAATCATAGTAGCCAGCTGCTAGAATTCTCCTACTGTCAGCAGCTGAGTTCGACCTAGCTATGTAGGTAATGTCAAAAAATCTTGCCACCATCAGGACTCAAATCCTAGGACCTCCCAGTCAAATAAATTTTTATTTGACTTCTTTAATGATTCTGAATAGTTCTTCTTAATACTGTTCACAGTTGCTCATCTGGCTTGCATATTGAATATCTTAAATTATTGTATTTTATTTGAAAACACCAAACTCTCCTATTGCTTCTCAAACAGAAACACTTATTCTCAAATAGAAAGGAAATTATGGTAGATGATCCTTCACTCATGTTGCCAAAGCAATTCATTTAAGTCAAATGATGCCTTATTTTTCATGGTGGAGCCCAGGCTCTCAGACTTGCTCTTCCACCTGACCATGCAAATTTCACCACACTCCTCTTGCCATCTAGCAGTGAAAGAAGGATCACTCTGGCAATAAAACGGGCAATTCGAATTTAGCTGCTAGGCTTGAGGATCTTTTTGCATGCAGTAAACCTGCAACATAGGGCAACCAGATTTTTCCCCCCTGAAAACAGGATTGTTTTGATCTTAAAATTCCACTGCTTTGATCAGATTTGAAAATGCTACAGATACTACAAATGGAAATACTTACATACTAATATTTATTTATATATTGATTGATTGATGCATTCATTCATTCATTCATTCATTCATTCATTCATTCATTCATTCATTCATAGGTACACAGGCAATCACCCAATTACAAAAAAATAGCAAACATAAGCATAATTATAATGAATGTCTAATGAGCAATAATAAGAAATATGTTTACAAGTTATTTGCAGAATGTAGAACTTTTGTTAGCAAAAATAACAAAAATCAATAAGCTTACCCAAGAAATAATATTAATACTTTCCAAAATTAGCGAAAATCATGCAAAATCAGTGTTTTAGTCAATGGTTCATCAAATGAACATATCAAATCAGTCTTCAAACCATTTGCTAATCTTATCATCCTCCTCATCATCATTTTAATAATAAAACACAAATATACCTACATACAAACATACATGCGTACATACATACACAGACCTAGGAACCCTCGCATACACACAAGGCTTAACCTATTCACTCATAATCATATTCAGACAAATATAGATACACATTTTTACCTAAACCCACAATATAATAATATACAATACTTATAATATTAGAACATTTCTAACACATATGCATGCATTACCATAAGTCAATAAATACCAATGTATGTCATTTGGGACGAGTAATTTTTTTAAAGAAGTGAATGGCATTCTTTCTTGTGAATTTGTTTCCTAGAATGATGAAAATAACTTAGGCTGGTAGCTCACTGATAGTTAATATTTTGTCTTGTAATTTTTAAATTCTGCTTCCTGCAGGAGTTGAAAGAAGAACATCCACGTGTTTTGGTTCAAGGAAATCCTCAGACTCCGTTAAATGTTGTTGAATTTAGTTATAAAGAAAGAAGTTATGTTACTATTCCAGCTCCTCCTCCTCTTCAGCTGTTATATGAATTACAAGGGATTGCTCTTAATATGTATTCAGATGAAGCACAGGGGGTCAGACAATCAATTATGGGTAAGTGAGACAAGATACATATATGATATGTAATAAAATATGTGTACATCATTAAAAATGTAATTAAATTACATTGCTATAGCATCATTAATTCCACCTTAACTTAATCTGCATTACTGTAGAATAATTAGATGAATTTTATATAAAAGGCACCAAATGCCATTGATTGCAAACTGAGAAAAAGCTGTTTAAAGTTGTCATCATTAAAGAAAATGCAAAACCCACTTTTTGTAGGAGAATGCAATAGGATAACTTTAAGTACACATGAATCTGTTTTATTATTATGTTTCCATTAATATTCACAGTTCCTAAGAGCTTCATATTAAAAAATTATGGTTGGTTCTTTTTAAATAAATTAAAATACTATTTATATAATAGGAACCAAGCAAAGTTTAGTAATAGATAATGGGTATTAGGAACAAGAAAAGATAACAAAATTATTAACATAGTTACGTAATTGTAAGAAATAAATACACACAATTTTGGAATCAATACATATTATCATAACATTTGTTCATCTCATTCTACAATGAAATCTGCAACCATTCCAAAACTACAATATCTATGCCATCCTGAACTTTGGTTCTGAAATTAAGATTTTCATAAAATGACCTTTGAACATAGCATTGCTTGGTATAAGGTGTCAAACAGTTTTGATATCCTCAAGCTTTACCTTGCTTATTGGCTTTCCTTCAGGTCACAAGGAAATCAACTTAACTGCACAAAAGTTGTATGACTGCCTTCCTGGGTGCCTTTTCTTAATATCCACTGAATGAAATTGCTTTGGGAATGGTTAGTTTCCAAGTGCAATACTAATGATTTGCTTGAACTGTAAGCCAGTTAATATTGTTTCTCTCAGTATCTAGCTTCCGTGATTACTTTTTCAATTTTTTTGGAATCTTTGAAGTCATTATCCATCTGCACTTGTGACAGACACATCTATCAATACTCTTTTTGAGACTTCCTTCCATTTCCTTAATGTGGTCCTCCAAAATGTAGAATTATAGTTGATTTATGAGGGCAGTTTCCACATTTCTGAAATCGGAAACATTTGGAAGAAAACTGTGTCATGAAGTGAGGTATTTTAATGACTTAGAATTCATCATGTGTAGTTCGTCAAACAAGGTATTCATGGTTTTATGTTTCAGTTTTAACCCGTACATGAAAGACCACCAAATATCACTTGGTGCACCAAATATCAACCAGTGATATTTGGTACTTGGTTCTATATCAATAAAATAAGTTGATGACAATTCTGTTTTGTAGTTGGTTCAACTTCTCTTAACTGGCAGTGCAGACCAGATATCTCTGCCAATATTTAAATTCAATATTGTATGCATTTTACAAGTTCAAATTTGTGTATATCTCAGAAATGTTAAAAATAGTGCTTGATTCTATTTATATAAAAGTCCTTCAATTGAGATAAAGTAAATAAATTTCTAGCAGGAGGCCCAAGTGAAAGAACTTGTAGTTTTGAAGTTCTTCTCAGAGCCATGCTTTATGCTTCTTCTTTATTTGTATTGTTATTTTAGTGATTTTGTTTGACTAGTTAAATCATTTTTAATAATGATTTAACTGAAATACCTGTTCATTTTGTGTTTGAAGAGGACATAGCAGTAGAGGAGGAGGAGGAGGAGGAGGAAGAAGAAGAAGGGGAGGGTGAAATGTTACCAGAGGGTGAGGGTGAAGAAGGTGAAGCAGAGGAAGATGAAGAGGAGGAGGAAGGTAATGTAAATATTTTATACAATGCACAATAAATATGTGTTTCAAGGTAATTTTCAGGGTCTCCCACAACTTGCTCCCGCAAGCACTTTGCCTGTCCTCACTATACATTGGCAATTGTCCCTGCCTGCAAATCTGTGTATTGGGAAGAGAAAATATGGTCTTTGCAATGGAGCAAAGACAAGAGAGGAGAAGGAACCTGCATAAATAAATTGGCTTCTTCGGTCTTTCTCAGTCATTAAATCCATTCTTCAGGATAGTTTTTATGTATTTAGAAATTCATTGTGATCATTTAAGACTGACAAAATTAATTATTTCTTTTATATATAAAGAATCATTTGCACCACAATTGTTACAGAACCATTGTATGTTGACTAATAGTTATTTATAAAATAAATATGTCATTTTATTACAACATGAATTCAAGGGTTATCAACAGAAGTCGTAAAGTTGTGTTCAATAACCAGTCAAGAATTGTAATTAGATTTAACGAATCAAATATACAATGTTTCATCCACTCTATAAAATGTGAAATATGCTATAATGTTCATTTAAATTTGACTATTCATTCTGTAAAATTAACTTATCGATGTTGATAGTCATTAGGAGGCCATGGATTGTTAGTAGAGCCCAGACATTTGGCAAAATGTGTTTTGATTATTGTTACTATTTTATGCCTTTTAACAATAGGAATCACTTAATTGTACTTCTGGGGTTGTTTTAGTAGATTTTTCATTTTGTCTATTTTAGCCATTTTGTCTTATTTTCCTTTTACTTCATTAGTTAGCTTTTTTCTTCTTCTGGTACCAATCTTAATCTAGAAGAATTTCATGATTGCATGGTCATGTTTTGTCTTTCTGAGAAAGCTGAGGCTGTTTTAAAACTCTAAATGAAAAAGGAAGATCATATAAGTCATTTTTTTTTTATTTTTTAAATTTGATGTTGACAGGTTTTGTTCACTCATGAGGAATCCCATCCTACTTTAGATTGTGGCATTCGATCCCTTTTGAGGACATATCTTTCTTAGTACTTGCAATTATAGAAGTGCGAAAGATGAAAAGTATAATTCCATTTTCACTGATGCCGTTTCAAGATTCAGAAAGCGTTTTTATGCTGAAATTCACAGTTTTCTGGTGCACAATTATAGTACTTTCTCTTCTTACATACACAAGGGCAAGAAGCTAAAAGGAGTCCACAATAGCATTTTGAAGAGATAGTGTCTGGGGCTTAAGACAAATTCGTAGCCATCATACTGGATGGCCATGTGGAATCAAGACTCCACAGAAAAGATTAAGTGAATGTGAATTTTACAGTTCAAATAAATATGTGAATCATTTTTATTATTAGTTTTTTTATAATAATTCCTTTTAAATACAATTTTTTTTAGTGTTTACATGCGTATTTGCACAAGAATAAATATTTGCCCAAGAACTTTATCAAGAATAATGCCTCTTTGGATTCCTATTTTAGTAAAAATAAATGCCTTTTTGCCTGCCCATTTGAGGTGAAATAAATTCCTGAACTTATGGGCTCTAACTATTAGAAATCTTATGTTGTAATGACTGTTATTATATCACTGACCTCAATTTTGTGAAGTTTGACTTTAAAAAACCAAAAAGGGTAAATAATGTAGTTTTCATGACCATTATTATTATTATCTTATTTCTAAAATGAACTATTTGTATGTTAATAATAATGATAATAATCAATATCATTATCTCTTCAGAGTTTAGGAAAGTTTCCTGTTCCGTTCAGCATGCCATCTTAATCTGGAACATCCGACATCCATTTTACCATGAGGTCTTTAGTTATATATTTGTTTTGGGATGTGGTCAGTACTCATTCTATTTAGATGTTGGGACCATCAGGTCCTGTTCTCATGTACTTTATTTATTAATGGGAGCAGTTCTTATTCTTCTGTGTTTATCTCATATTTTAATAACTCTAATATAGTGCAGCCTTTGACTTGTCTCAAGAACCTCATCACAGTCGTCTAAATTCTGGTAAAATCTTTCTTTTTCATGGTCTACGTCTTGCACTCATAAAGAAGTATGGGAATAGCCATTGTTTTATAAAATTTAAATTGTGTTTCCTTTCTTGTTTTCTTTGTCAGATACTTTATTATTGTTCCACAGATTTTTTGGAATCTTTGTGTTTTTATTGAAATATCTTTAATGAATTCAAAAATAGTATCACATCCCAAGTGGCTTGTTTTATAATTTTATTATTTATTATTATCTTACTTCGTATAACATGTTTGTCTCTAAATGCCATTACTTTGGTTTCCTGAGTTGAGATTCTCAAGTTATATTGTTCACATATGTTATTTAGTTTACGGAGAGCCCTCTGTAAGTGATTCTCACTTATTTGGATTATTATCAGATCGTCTGCAAATAATAAAGTATTTAGTTTCAGAGTTTATCTCGATGCCATCTGTAATACACTGTTTCCATTCTCTCAGAATGTCATCTATATAAATATTAAATAAACTAGGTGATAGGCTACAACTTTGTCTAACACCTCAGTTAATTTCAAATTCCTCTAATAGTTTTCTATTTAATCCAATACTTCTATAGTTATGTGGTATAAGGATTTGATTACTTTAATTAAATGTCCTGGTTTGCCTTCATTATCGTCCATATCGTATGTCAATGCACCATTTGGAAGGCTTTCTCATAATCTATGAAAGCGATATGAGTTTCATAATTAATTTATTCTTATATATATCCGTAATTAATATATTCTTATGTGTGTATGTGTACACACACACACGCACACGCACGCACACGCACACGCACACGCACACGCACGCACACGCACGCACGCGCACACACGCACACACGCACACACACACACGCGCGCACGCGCGCGCGCACGCACACACACACACACACACACACACACACACACACACACACACACACACACAGATATATAAATAATTGCTTTAATTAAGTGTTCTTCTATAATGTGATTATTAAAGATGAGTTGAGTAATTTAAATGTACCCAACCATTTGTTAATATACTCTTGAAAAATGCAAGTGTATATTGGGTTGTTTTTATTCACCGATTGCAAATTAAATTATTTTTTCTTTATTTCTGGTAATTATAAATTACTCAAAATCATAAAATTAAGCAATTTGTAATCTTTATGTATTATGTGGTCGCAAATAATTTCTTCATTTTATAAGGCGATAAATTGTATGAATAATTTAAAATCTTATATTTTTTTTAAGTCTACCATACCATCTATACTTCGTATGTGTGAATTTTCTGTGGTTTTTAGAACCTTATAATATTTGTAACTATCATTTTAACATATTCTCGGTACTCTCATTTAATTATGTTTATTTCTTGGGAATGTTTAAATTCTGAGTGTTGTTGTTGTTTTTTGTCTCGAGCCTCACAATAATTAATTAGCTTTCCTCATCCCTGAATTTATCTACAATTTTTACAGATCTTTATAAAGAAAGAAGGATTAAAAACTTTGGTAACTTTGGACCTTGGGCTGTTAAAAAATATTTTTTTCTAAAGTGATATTTGTGTATAATTGAATATTCTGTCACGAAAGTGAAATTAACATACTCTGAGAATAATTAAATTGCCCCTCTTGATCAACAATATTAAAAACTGTGAATGTCTACACTCACGTCCTTAATTTTAAACTTTTATATTAATCTCAGTAAGCTATATGTGAATAAAGAAAGTACTGGAATTATAACTCTTGTGTGTGTAGTTTCCTAATTCTCTAAAATGTCATTTCTGTAGGAGATGAAGGACAGAGAGAAGGAGATGATGATGAAGGTGAAGAAGAAATTCAAAAACCAAAGAAAATTACCAACATGTTCAATTTTTGTGAGCGACCAGCCCAGACTTTCATCCGTTTCAAGAGAGTAAGTTTGTTAGTATCTCCTGTACTCAGGGTCATGTAACCATCTTAATAGTTTTGTGTTTGTTAGGCCTATGGGATTTCCAACTTTCTTCTCCCATTGATTATTCAGCTGCCTATAAATGCTTATACTTATTGTCAGTTTCTTTCAGATTGGTTTTCCATTCCATTTCCTCATCTGTTGTAGGTCAATATCACTCAGATCATCTTGCAGTTTTGAGAACTAAAATTCTGTGCTTTCTGTTTGGTATCTTATGAAATAATGTTTTTCTTCATCTACCATTATTTTGGATATAATTGTTTTTAAAACCTTCCACGGTACCTTTTTGTGTTGATGATGCTCAGTGTTTGTACATCTAATGGTTTAAATGGTATGAAGTCTCTGATATCATATAATCTTATTTTTGTTTGTTTTGAGCATTGCAGATTGTGTATTTGTAGATCGAAGATTGTGTATGGATTTTGAGGGGTAAGGAGTCTAAGTAATTTGTGAGCACATATTTCAATCATAGTCACCAATATAATGCTTAATATTTTTGCTAAATTTGACCCTATGTAAGTGGACTTTTCTGTCCTGGCATTGAAGTCTCTCACTTATGAAGCTTTACAATTCAGTGTTTCTGCACCTGTTAGTTTTCAAAATCTTTCATAATGTATTCTTTTTTTCACCATAAAATTTGGAACACAACTCATTAATTGATGTATGTCTGTGTTGTCAACGCTCCAAAGCTATTTTGAGATCATGTCTACACTATTAATTTTTTCCATATGTTCTTGAAATTTCATGTAAAGGATCATTTCTGTTCTGCTTCTTAGTTCATGGTTTATTTATTAAATTTGTTGCTGGTTGAAGAGATAAAAGGCATCAGCTGACTTCGATATTACAAGACAGTGGGCAAGTAACTTAACAGAGAATTACTCCAATGCATAGACCCTCAGTGCCCAAAAAGGACTAGAGAGATGTGTGTAAAAGACACAACAAATAAAAAAATGACATGAAATTTAAAAGTGCATAGTTGTTTATTCTGCCTACTCCTCTTTCCATCTTTTTTTGTCTCAGAAGTGTTAGTGTTACATATCATCCCTTTGCATTGTCAAGATACAATTGACATTTGGCTGGGGGCCCTTCTCCTTGTCTTGAGAGAGGCAGTCTCTGCCCTAAAAGGCATTGAAAACACAATTTACTTACAGAAACCTCACATAGGTGGCCAGAACTATTATTTTCTCTCAGACTTTATTGATTGGAATCTTTGATTTCAGGCCATGGAGACTCAGACGCTTCCTGCCTCTCGGCTCCCAATGGGAGATCAGGTTACTCAGTACATAATATATGATTCCTATGAAAAGGACTTTGCAGCAAAGGAAGAGGAAAAGGAGAGAGAGAGACTTGCGAAAGAACGAGCAGTTCCTACCGGGCTGGCCACTGCTGCAGAAGCTCCAGTTTTGCTGCATAAGAAAGAGAAGAAAATTACAGATTTTGAAATCATCTCTAAAAAGATGGTTAATTCTGCAAAAACGCTAGAAAGAATGGTTAATCAAAACATCTTTGATGGTGTATCGCAAGGTAGGTGTTATATACTCTACTATTGTCCCCAGGAAAGTTGACTGATGTGATGAAATTGTTTTGAGAAGGTAAATATCTCCAAAGAAGGTTTTATTGCAAGTAGAATTTCTACAAACATATGCTGAAATAAATCGGTATTTAAATGAATTTTATGTCATTATTAATGATTGTGTGTTAATACCAGCAGTTAAGATTTAGATCTGCAAGTCCTGTTTCTTTAAGTAGTGACTAAGATGTCTTGAACTGATGGATCTTTATATTTTTATGAATTTTTGGATTTTATTAGTTATTATTTATTGACTTATTTTATTTTAAATTCCTTTTAAATTTACATATTCCATTACAAAGCTGTTCACATGTACCTTCTTTCTCCATTAATTGTTTAAAATGAATTTCATAAATCTAACAGTTATGACGTCTGCTGACAGATACCATAAATAACATACTTAGCTCGTATGTATCGTAACCAACAAAGCTTAGTGTAAACACTTACATAGATGAGATGCTTACCTGGTTTTGCGAGTTTGAAGAGTATGTAATTCTTTCATTCTTCAGAGGATCAGACACATGGCTTTGAAGCAAATTTTGTTTCTTCTGAATTGTAGTAAATACATTTTAATTTAAGTTTCACTAAAAAACATACATTTGTCTGTTATGAACTAATATTGTATTTGAAACACCATCTGTCTTTGGTTAATGAAAAGCACTTTTTCCCTTCCACATAGATGTGCAAAGTTTTCCTATGTATTTATATTATTTAATGAAGCGAGGGCCTTATTCTATATGTGTGACTTCTAGTAGTATGATATTGTGACATTGAAAATTATGCAGCAATTGATTTTATTTTCTCTTATACAAGTCTTGTAATGCTGGGGAAAATTTATATCAAAATTTTAATACCCATTTCAGGGTTCTCTGATGGTGGTTCAGGGTTTCCTGAAAAGTGGTTGGTGTTTGTTGTTGTTGTTTTCCCAAATGTCCAACTCTTGTTGTTACTGTGTATCCATCTCTACGACCCTGTAAGAACGACATTAGCACCTAAACCATTCTGAGGAAATAAAAATAAAAATTCTCAGTTTGATTTTCCTAGCTCCTGCCCTGGTAAATTTTAAACAAATTCTTTGAATTTTGAAGGTACTTTACATGAAGCTTGAGGGAATTTCTCAAAATTTTCTCAAAAACGCCACCAAATTGTTTCTTTAAATTTCTTCTTGGAATAGTGTGAAATAAGCTTACAAAAATCACAAAAGTCTGATTTTCACCATTAGCTTTGAATTTTCAAAAATTGCATAAGTTCCCAATTTTTTGGACCCCCTTATATTATATTACTGAAAGTAGAAATATTTTCTTTCAATGAAATTTGTTCTTCACAATATCTTAATTACATTTTAATACATTATATTTGAAAATATTAGTTGTTTGTGTGCAAGTTAGAATGAATTATGGGCAGTATTAAAAACAAGATTTTTCCAAAATGGTTCCAATTTTTTTCTGTAAACATTTTGTATAAATAGAGCATTAATACATATTGCATGAAGCATTAAATAACATGACATCAACACTATTTTGATGTTTTCTTTTAATTTTTCAAAAATTACCCAAATATGTTTTTTCAAAGTATTTTTTATGTCATTAACATTTATATTAGGAACATTTTTATAATTCATTGCATTTGTGAATACAAGTGCTTCAGTTGCTTTCATTTGAAGTTTATTGGAATTTTTCGAGCACTTTCAAAAACATTCAAAAGACAATCGAAATGACTTCACCCTTTCTGTACCTTTGTCCCACTGGGTGGGCCATGGTGGGCCTCCCTTGGTGTGGACCAGTGCTGTATGGTTGTGCCATCTTATATGGTGACATACAAAAGCTTTACTGATTTCCTTTTTTCCTCTGGTTTGCATCATGTAGCTTGAAATATACTGCATTTCCTTAGCTTTTGTGCAGATGTTACTAGATGTAAATAGCAATAGCTAGCATTGAGCTCAAAGCGTCTGCATCTAATTGAATTAGATTTTATTACTGCTAATGGTGATCTATGTAAATTAGATTAGGTAGGTAATATTTTGTGTTTAACCTATTAATGTCAAATTAATTTTAGGCTCATAGCGCTTACCCATTTTTATTACATCTATGCATGGTCGTTGTTGCAGCTTTCTGGTAGCATGTTTTTGCAACTTTTAGTGCCATTGTTGTTTTTGTTTCCATTGTTGAGTTGCTAATTGTAATAGTAGTGCCACTATTACTATGAAAGTAATATTTTGTGTTTAAACTTACCCTTTATTACATCCTGCTGCTCCCATTCCAAACCGCCATTTAAAAGGAGAGCACTGGGTGCCACCATGTTGGTCGTTTAATGACTGAATTGGCACCAAAAGGTTTAAAATTGTTTGAATGAAAATGAGCATACAGAATCAGGTTTATATTTTCTATAATATTCTCATAGACATATTTTCAACTCACTATTAGAGGAATACAAATTTGAAAAAATTTAAAAAGATTAGCTGTTGTTTTTGTTTGTTTGTTTGTAAAAATTGTGTGATGTTTTGTACAAAAACTGCATTCCCAATATAATTATTACATGAAAGTGAACAAAACCACTCTGTTAATTCATACCTACTGTAAATATTGTGTTCTACATCATTATTTGTAAAGTTGGTTAATTTTGAAGGAATAGTTCATACTGAATGTGACGTATATAGATTTTGTTGCTAAAGTAACTTTGTTTGCATTGTGGTTATGGATACAAATTGTTTCAGACTCACTAAAATACATAGATGCAATGCTCATTAAAGTCTGCATACTTATATAGAGGTCAATTGTAGTTTTATTAGTCTGCCAAATTATTATTATTATTATTATTATTATTATTATTATTATTATTATTATTATTATTATTATTATTATTATAATTATAATATTACATAACCAGAACACATTTACAAAGACTACAGTCATGTGATTTGACCTTGTGAAATGGGCTTGGGCAGGAGAACCCAAGTACATTGACACCAGGGCTGTAATTTTTTGAAACCCATGTAAGGCATGAATGTTTTACTTGTATTAGTGGCATTCCAAGTCCTTTGTGTACTACAACATTTATACCCTAATCCTTCATAATCTTGTGACCTGACAAGCAACAGTATTTGTAAGTGATGAACTGACTTTCTACACTTTCTGCTCTTTCAGACTTACACTGTAATTCCAAACAACTGAGACAATTAGAATCTTCTGTTTGAATCCCCTAATTAAAGTATACAGTTGTTTTGGTTCTTGCCATAGGTGGGTGTGGCATTGCTAACTGTAACATTGGGGGCATGTGGTGCTGAGTTACAAAAAAGGGCACAAAACATTAACTGCTAAGCAATTAGTGAAAGACCTTTCAGTCTGTATACCCAGAGCTGAGTGGTCATCAGGATTCAACAGTGAGGTCTCCTGCAGCACTGTTAGTATCGTCTAGATGCAAGACAGTGAAACCTCACCGAGGCAGATGAGTGTAGATGTTCTAACACAAGTGTTCAATAGTATTCTAAGCATGAGCAGACAAGCTGGGTCTTGATTTAATACAGTCTAACTTATTGTGAATAATAATAATAATAATAATAATAATAATAATAATAATAATAATAATAATAACAACAACAACAATTGGAAAGTATGTATGGCACCACTATATCATCTTTGTTGTTTCCCTTTTACACTTTTAATAATTCCTCTATCTTTTAAAAGTAACATTTCTTCTTCTTTTTTTTTTTTTTTAGATTATAGAAATTATGAAGATCCTGCAGATGATCTCCGGGAGAAAGAAGGCACACTTCTACCTTTGTGGAAATTTTCATATGAGAAAACATTTAAAAGTCATACTGTCACTGACATATGTTGGAATCCAAAATATTATGATTTGTTTGCTGTGACCTACGGCTCATGTAAGTTTCATATTACTCAATTATTTTGTTCTTTAAACCATTGTATTTAGTTTAGTAGGTTGTACTTGTTGTAAATTTAGTTTCAACTGTAATCTACACATTTCATATTGAATTTCATAGTGTTTGAGTATTTCATTTCAGATTCTTACTTTTTAACGTTTTAAAACCATATAATTAATAATATTTTAAACCTTAAAAGAAAATAAAAATAACACTTTAAACCTTATAATTAACAATAACATTATTTAATAATTGAAGGAAAATCTGTTCAAAGGTAATCATTACACATGTTATCACAATTGTAATCGAGCAGGAATTGAACATCTTTAGATGAGATGTGCACAGTCTAAGCATGAGACAAGCATCTAATAATTTCAGATTGGGTCATATTTGTTAACTGTCTTAAAAATAAAATGGAAACTCCTAACAATAAGAAACAGAAAATATTTAAATACTAAATTTGTAATTACAAACCCTCAAAATTCCCTTGAGATTTTTGGGAATGGTTTACCTATGCTGGCCAAGCAAAAGCTTATAAGAACCTTGACTGTAAATTCCTGCAAGGTTGTTGCACCCTGTAATACCTGGAAGGGGCAGGGATTTTTTTGTCCCTAAAAAAACAACAACATGGAACAGAACAAAATTGCATGGGAATTTTTTAGTTAACCTTCAGTCACTCGTGCTGTTGGATTTTGTTCAACACTTTCGCCTTTTCAGTATGACATTTTTGCTTCTTGTCTCATGTTTTCGGTCATGGCCAAGGAGATATTGAGTGTTGATTTTCAGTAAATAAGGAATGTCTCGTCGATAGCTTGGAGAAATTGTTAGTGGTTCAGTGTGATGTCTAGGAAAGGGATCCAGAGCCAAGGAGGAATGGACAAAATTGAAATTACAAAATGCATGATCCATTATTGCTGACAAAGTTAGTGTTAAAATAATCTGAGGAAGAATCACTCATGATGTTCATATCCTTCTAACACATTTGAGATGGCAAGGAATCACAGGTAATCACACTTATTCATATTAAGGTTTTTCACATGTTTCCATAAGATCCTAGTGTCATGAGGAATAGAACCCTCAATCGCAATATTGTGTGTCCCAAAATTTAGCCTGTTAAAATTTACACTGTGATCTCAAGCTGGAGAAAATGCTATAGTTCTGTGGGGATTGGTTATATGTAAACTCTGCATGTGAAAATTTCATAGACTTAATTGTACTGCTAAGTTCTGAAAAGAACCAGGAAGTGTAACTCCTACCATGACATCTCTGAGGCACATGTTGGTCCACAATGGAATAGACTACCTCATAAAACATCATAATTTAACAAAATGGAATTCCAGTCAGTACCATTCAATGCTAAATAATCATCTCTGTGAAATTCATGAAAAAAAAAACATTATCCCTGAATCAACTTCTGTGTTGATCAAAGGCAAACTCAAGTGTGGGTGATATCTATCCTCATTTTTCAGCGGGTCTGTTGCAACCCAAACACAAAGGCATTCCCATGAGCAAAATACCAAATCCAAAATAGAGGCCTTGCTATTCATGATTTCATTAAGCTTGTAGAAATTTAATAAAAAGAAAGTGTTCATGAGATCTCTTGCTGACATTGTCATGGAATCAGTCAAATCACAGTTCCATGATGCACTGGCAAAATTGTAGTCCTCCGTAATAATTAAGTCAGCTGTCTGATGAAGATCAGCAGCGTGAGCCACCTCAATAGCATGACAATCATACATATCAGCGGAAGAAACAGGTGGTATGTAGACAGCTCCAACCTCAAGGTCTAAAGAGCCCAATTGCACAAAAATGTGCTCCACACTGATGACTATCATTGAGATAGATGAACTCAGAATTCCATAATGGACTGCAACCAGACCATCTTCTCTCCACACTGAACTCGTATCAGGGGTTTTATCTAGCCTGTTTAATCTGTAATTACATAAGTGCAGTTCCTCATTAGAAAAATTCCCATTCAACTAAGTTTCTGTAAAAACAATTACTTCATAAGTTCCAAAATACTATCCAGCATTAGCATAGCATTTTCCAAAATACTATCCCTTAATTGCAAAAATTTGGTGCATAATCCTTGCACATTTTGGCAATACACTGGTTAACATCCCTTTTATTATCGATATATCCCTTAATTAGTTGTTTTTGTGATGCTCTATAGGACACTCCACCAAAGAATTTTAGTGTAATATAATTTCAGCATTGGCCTGACTGGTTCCTCAATCAATGCCTTGTGATGAGTTAGTTGCTTCCTGGTAAGATCATTTTTTATCTTATTTCCATGGTTACCTACTAAATTTGTTTCTCAAAACAAATAAAGCCTCATCTTCATTTCCAAAGGCCCAAAATTTTTAAGGGCATGATAGACTCTTCAAGTGCCTTATCAAAAGATTAGTGGGCATGGGGAAGCTGGGATAACACTAAAAAATTGTGTTGATGTGTTCAAGGTCATTGCGTCCTTTGGTGTGTTTGAAGACCATAAACACGGACATTCTTGGCGCTAATGCACCTCAGCCAAAGCTCCTCAGTAACACTCTCTTCTGTCATGACAGACCAGTCTCTTCTCAAGTCTTGAGATCCCTGGCTGCCAACATATCCAATTGAGCATCCTGGCCATCCAAGCACCTCACTATAGTATCACTTGTGGACTTATAATTGCTGGCTAATAAATCACAGTTTCAACATGCCCTTGTGATCCTTTATCATGATGGCTGAACAACACTTGGAAAATCCACTGCTCCATAACACTTTCATCCTTTTAGCACAGCTGCAATGGTAACATGTAGAACAGTTTTACATTTAGTTATTTTTGACATGTCTGTTCATGAGTGGCTGTTCTTTAAGCTCTTATTAGGGGTATCATATTCATCTCCTCAAAGATACCAGGTCATCATTGCAAATAATCACAAGAAATGTCATTTATTCATAAGCAAATATAAATCTCCAATTATTTATAAAATTCCAATTTTGCTATATATTTCGGTTCTTAGATGTGGAGACATACAGACAATCCTCAGCCTCCTTCATATTTTCATCCTTTTTTTAGTGTTTGCTATTTTTGAGAGAAACTTGAATACATTCAACACATTTATGTGTTTAATGAAATGTCTTCTGATAATTTCTTCTATTCTTGCTCTTCCTCCTCACATTTGTTCCGTAAATATCAAAATTATCAGTTGTGTGGAGAGTACAATTTTGGCTCACTTCCAAATATTTGGCCAAATTGTCAAGAACAATGTGAAATTGTGGTTAGCAGGCAAACAGCATTGTTGTAGGTCTCTTCAGTGAGAAAAATCATTGTGATTAGAACTTTAGAGAGAAACAAGTTTAAATATGATGTGATATCAAATGTGTATTAATATTTTGTCTATGATAGCCCCAGAATCACTCTTTATTTAATTTGATAAAATATTAATTAACCGTTACTGTTTTTAATATAAGGGTTCCCACTTTTTTAATTATTAATTTTCTCTTATATTCCTAAAGTGTTCTTATGAATACAGAAGAACAGAAAGTTTTCAGTTTATAAAACTTATAATAACTCCCAAATGGAAATACTAATCAGAGGTTGGCACACTGTTATATATGAAGTAATTAAACTGGCATTATTCGTTTACATTTTTGCAGCATATCTGACAAATTATTATTTTTCCATTCAGTCCTGACATTCCAAAGTCAGAGTAAAACTGATCAAGTTTAAAATTGCTCCAAAAATTTTAGAATGAGTTTGACAACAATGGGGAGCATATTGGTTAGCCTTGTGTGATTAAAAAATGCAATTGGGCTAAATATAGAATTTCTTATCTACAACAATGGAAAGTTTTTCTTTCTTATAGCTTGTTTTTCTTCATATTAGATTAAATCCATTTCACATGTATTATAGATGTATTTTATCATTATTTATATTTTTATGGTAGTGTTAATCTAGTAAGTCTTGTCATACAATACAATCAGAAGCTTAAAGTTCATTTACTTTAGTTTCTTCCAAAGCAGAAAAACAAATTGACAAAAATCATTTCAGTAATGAGACAACAACATAATCAAATCAAGTGGTATCAGTTTTTAAAAGATCTTAACAATTCCATTAAACCTGTTACACTGGCATCGTGTTTCAATAAGTCACTCGTAATGTAAACAACAGACATCTCATTCATTTTTCAAGAACATTTAAGTGTTGTAATATTTTCTTTTGAATTATCAGATTCTTCAGTCAGAAAAGGACCACCTTTATTGCACACTTTCAAGTAATCCAGTTGTAATAATATTCAACAAGATTCAGATTTTGATTTTATAAATAGCAATATTTAATTGAAACAAAGTAATATAAATCAAAAGAACAGTATATTTCAATTAAAATATTTTTTTTTTTTTTTTTCACTTTTTTATACTGAAAAAGTTTGTTATTACAAGTAAAAGAACAAAACTAGAATGTTGTTTGTAATGATTTGATGTTTTGATTCTTTCTCATATTGACAGATTAACCTTTAACACCATTTGAACCTTCCTTTTTCCAGTTGAATTTATGAAAGGTGCTCCAGATGGTGCTGTGTGTCTTTATACTTTGAAGAACCCATCCTACCCTGATTACATATGTATGGTAGATTATGTGGTTTTGTGCATAGACATTCACCCCCAACACCCTCATTTGTTTGTAATTGGAAAATCAGATGGGAATGTGGCTGTATACAATGTTCTGTTGGCAACAAGTGAACCACAGTTCAAAAGCAATTCAGTGAAATACAAACATGGAGGTATTGTTTGGCAGGTACTTACACATAAAAGAATAAAACCTACATATTATATACCTTTGTACATTTTCGTGCAGTTGACTCACAATGCACTGAGAATTTCAATCCCTGAAATTGGGAATTGGTTTCTGCGTTTCTGCTGCAGGTCTACATTTGTTTAATAATGTTTACCTGAAAATTCTATACTCATCTATCTTTTCTTCTTGAATTATTGTTTGCTTGTTTTATTTAATGTGGTTTTTATTCAGTGAAACCTAATTCCTACAAAATTAAGTCTGTACTGTACCTGTCCCAAAAAAGGCATTGTGTATGGAACTCAAAATTGATTTTTATGTATTTTGTAGCTTCAATTTAAATTAAAAATAAACATTATCTATTTATTTTTCTTCAATTTTTAAACTAGTAATAGCTTATTGAAGTTACTATTGATAATAAATTGAAAATAGATGTTAAATTTATAACATTTATAGAAGATACAAATGTTTTTCAGATTTTTTAAAATATGGGTTCTTAATTGAGTTTTTTTTATAGAAAAAGGTGAGGTAGTATACAAACATGGCACAAGCAGTTACCATTACATTAAATTTGAATGAATCTGGCATTGCGGTACAAAATACTGGCTTAGGAGGCACATGGTATCAGTTGATGTTACTGGGGTGTCTTTGACCAGGAGGCCCTAGGGTTCGAATCCTGAGAGTGGGGACACTAGCTAGTTAGCTAGCAAGTCAAATTCAGCTCTGATTGGTAGTTTTCTGTGGTTTCTCCAATCAGTAGAAATGCAGTACCCTACAAACGGGCCATGGATCATAATCTTTCCTTCCTCTTCCTTGTGATATCCACTTCCCTTACTTAATCATGCATGTCGGAAGCTTAGTGTCCTGGCTGGGGCAGTGCCCTGTTGGTGGGAGATGCGTGGTTGCAGAAAAAATGCTAGCAAACATGTAGGTTGAGGTCTTATTTTGCCATTCAGTGTGGGAACATTATCGCCAAATCTCATGGTAAAAACAAGCACTTCTCTTATGGGACTAATGATCTTAACAGTGGACACACACAGAATTGCACAAATCAATCTATTACAGTACAAAAGTTACTAAGGTAATTTAATAATTATGCTGAATATTTAATATCTCATCAAATGATCTAAGAGAAAGTAAATCCTTAATTAGAAGTTTTAGAAACTGAAGTTGTGACTGTTGTTACACTACTGGTAATTTAAGAAATACAAAATATCCTATCTTAGAAATATCCTTTTGTCAGGAAAAATAATATTTCTGAGATAGTAGTAATTCTTAGTTCTCAATTGAATGTATTTAATCTAAATAAATAAAACAGTCGTGTTAGTTACACCATTTATAACTTCTGAACGGTTGGACCAATTTTAATTACCTCTGATTTATTAGATTCATCTTCACCCTTAATCACAGAATAACTATTAAAATATCGGAAAAATTAAGGGAAAAAAAAGAATAAAGAACAAAACTAAATATTCATGTCCAATGCAACTTCTGAAACATGGCAGGATTTTTGACTTCATATAATTAAATAACTCCTAAAGATATTGTTCTAGGGCATTAAAAACTGAAATATTGAGGCCAAAGGCCTCAAAAAAAATTTTTTCACACCGTGCAGGTTGAGATCTTGAACATTCTGTTATTGCTGGTCTGGCTTCTCGATATTATGTGACATGCAGAATCTGCAACTAAATGTGTATGAGAGAGACAGAGAGAGATGGCAAGACGGACAGAGAGGGGGAGAAATGAAGAGAGAAGGAGATGAAGGGCAGAAAAACATCTGCATGGTTCCACTAGTCAAGTTATGAATTGTAGTCTTCTGCTATAAGAGAACCCACTTATGAGAGACAATAGTCCTCTGGGTTCTATGTTTAAAATATGGGAATCTTTTTTCCTACTTGCATGAGTCCTGTTAATGAGACTTTTCTGCCCTTAAAGTCAGAATATTGTGGTTCCACAGGATTTTTCACCCATGTGAGAGTCAGAAGTAGAAAGTCAAGTTTTTGAACACTGAAAGCAAGGAACAAGGCTGCTTAAGAGATAAGTGTGCCAGACGTAATCCAGCTCATCTGTGAAAACATGTGCAACTTTCACTGAATTGTTTTCTGGAACTCATTGTGTTCGGGCAAGCAGAAATGTGCAAGCTGGTCAGAATTTGACTTAATCTTATTCCATTGTTTATTTTGTATTGAGCTTTTCACCATTGAATTGCTATTGGTGTTGACAATCTTCGGAATTGTCTGAATTTAAGAAACATCCCAAGTAAAAAAAAGGAGAAAAAAAAAGTGATGGCTTAAGAAGGAAAAAATGACATTATTCATCTTGAGAATAGTAACAATTTGCTCCAATGAAAAAATTACCTTCTATGAAAGTAACCAATATCATTTTTGACGAACGAGAGAAAAACTCCTATGTTCCCCGGGTGTCTCTTAAAATGGAGTTCTACTTTTTATTGAATATTTCGGAACATTTTGGAAAGTTTCCTTTAATGGACAATTTCAATTTGATGATATTAGGTTATTTTGTGAATCCAATTCAAAATATGAGCCAGTAGATCAAACATTTCTCCTGTATCCATCAATGTGCTGAATTCATTGACCAAGGTCGTGATAGTGATGCATGAAATTTGTTATGCAGTGGTCTTTCCATGGAAATTATACTTAGTAACTGATGTCTGAGACTGTATGTTTTCTGAATAGTGGAGTTGTTGTAATTTAATTTTGTTTTTTATTACCTTCTGGATTATTTTTGTTTTTTAAAAACTTGTAATTAAATTTATGTCTGTTAATTCTTGGATAACATATTTATAGATTGTCTTTATTGTTAATATTTATTTAACAAAATATCCTGTATTTGACAGTGTGACTTGCATACCATTTACAAACATTTATCGTGTGAGGGCTAAAAGCTTGAACACCAGTTGCACACATGGGATATAACTAAAAAAATTATTTTTATTTAATTTTGAATTGTATTGTATTTGTGGGGTACAGCTCATTGGCCATAACTCATCCCAAGCTTCATTTGTAACAACTCCCCGTATGGGTCTCACCAACCTTTCAGGCTAGATCACTTTGTGATTGACTGTTGAAGCACCTGGAATTTATCTCTCGCTTTCTCTGCTAGATGTTGATCTCAGCTGATAGGTCTGTGGTAAATGACCTGGTTAGAAGAATGTAAGTTCTTATGAGGACAGTATATTACCAGATGGATTAAATTTTGATGAGCACCTGCCAGGGATCTCTTACACATCTCAAGCTCTAACAAATTCCCACTCTTCAAAATTCCACTCCTCACACTGGGTCAGGTTTAGAAGCCAGTGTACTACACCCCATCACTGGGGTCAGCTCACTATTAAAACAAAAAGTTATATTTTCACAAAATACTATGAAATCAACTTTCAATAAAGATGAGAATATCATTTAAAATGAACAAAATCTTAACAATCTATAACTATTTACAACTGCCCATAGCAATGATGATGGAAAGAACAGTGATCATTGTGAATGAGATTGAGTGGGGCAGTGCAAGATGATGGATATGGACAGATGTGATGGACCAGGGCGGGTTTGGGTAGTGTGGTAGGGCAGGGCAGGGCAGGAATACACTATTGATATAATTCTTTGTTTTCCTGACTCATAAATGGTTGTTTAATAGCTGGACAATGTGGGGTATGTCACCTTGATGTACATTAATATTCTTGTAAAGAACACCAGTTTATGTAACTAATTATAATATCATTATAATAAATAAATAAATAAATAAATACTGTTAATTCATGATTTAGTGGTACTCAAGTTTAAGGTAAACCTGCATTAAAATAAAATATTTCTTGTCACCATTCTGAATTTAGTGTTACAAACAATAGTATGATATCCCCATTTAAGATGGGCTGGTCTGAGACTCATCAAGACTTTCATAAAGCAATGAACATTTTAGACCAGTATTCACACTTTCCAACAAAGTAATGTACTCATATCAGTCCCTCGTAGTAGAGACACTAACTTGTTTTGTGCGCTTTGTTGTCCTGTACAATGTTGCTAACTTTTTTCTCCTTCCTCTTCTTCTTCATCATCATCATCATCATCATCATCATCATCATCATCATCATCATCATCTTCTTCTTCTTCTTCTTCTTCTTCTTCTTCTTCTTCTTCTTCTTCTTCTTCTTCTTCTTCTTCTGAACTGAAACTGGACTGAACTTCTGGACTGAACAATAACTGTTCAGTGAGGGGAAGGGGGCCAATATGATTTATAAGGGTAGTAATGTGAATGTAAATGGTAGTGGAGTGTCTGTTCTCAAAATTGTAGCTTTCTGTTGTTGAAATTAGCTGACCTTTATTTAAGGGTAAAAGCTAATCACAGACTTGAGGACTACACTAAATTGGGATTTAACTGTAGTTTATAAAATTACATCCATAAGGAAGAGGCTTTTAGTGACTTCTCTTTGCAGGTGAAGTGGGCAGCTGACTGGCCGGATGGAGAGATGGTCTTCTACTCCATCTCTGATGACGGCTTCATATTTCAGTGGGTCATTACATCAATGGGTATGACAGAAAGCAAAGTGATGCCCATTGACCTTGACATCCCCCCATGCCCTGGACCTGAGGGAACCAGTGTGCGCCTCAAAGGTTTGAACTCCATAGTGATTTCCACGTTATTTGTGTTGAGGGTAGGATCATAAGTTTCGATGGGGTATAAAAAAATATTGTAATGAATGGCAGATCATCTATTATTTAATACTTAATTACTGGGTGCCTTCTCCAAATTCTTTCAGAGTGTGGTGTGTAGACAATTTAGTTTCATTTTCTTGAAGCTGTAACCACAGTAAATTCAACAGCATGTACATTGACATCTATAAATATTAAAATTTCTGGCAATAGTGTTTTTAAATTTCTCATATACGTACATATATATGGAATATAGAAAAAGTTATGTAGTGTAGTATAGTATAATAAAAATTAGTATTTTTTTTCAAAACATCCATCCATCTCAGGTCATTATTACATTTACTGTTCATATTAGTTGATGAAATTTATTTATCTTTAACGTGTATCATATATACATGTAAACTTTAACATGTATACTTAAGTAATTATAACAATCAGTCTAAAAACTAAATGTTTCATATTAGCATTAACATCCAATAGAGACAATGTTCACAAAGGCTCTTAGTCCACTTTCCCAAATTTTCAGTGACCTAGCACTTGATGTAATACATACCATATGTGTACCATGTTGACTTGACTTTGAAAATATAACATCCAAAATTGAAAACAATAAGGTGTGATAAAAATTAAATGACTTAAAATATGTTCAAATTATAATAAAAATTATGGGATGTGTTGAGCTTCATTGCCTCCCTTAAGATTCATGGGTCTCAGAGCAATGTAGCCTACTGGCTGCAAACTGTCTCCTTGAGACTATTTGTCTAAAAACAAATTCTTCTTTCACACCTCCCATTTTGGTTGGTTGGTTATTTGGTCACCTTTACTGTCAGAGCTCTTAATGTTTTGTTACTTTTCTATTTAATAAACAATCATTTATCAGCTCATCAGTACCTTTTCCGTTCAGTAGTGACCTTTGCATGAAAATACCATTGATTTTAACATTTGATTTCTGTTTATTAAGTTTTCAATAATGTTCTTGGAATTTACAATCATCGTTACAAGAATACCAAAAGATTGGTTGTCTGCAAAGTAACAGCTTTGAATGATGTGCAAAAAACATGAATGGACTTATGTGATGAGCAACCCCCAGGTTTACTTACTTACTCTATTTTTTTAAATTTCTCACCCCCTCCATACTGATGTAGTAAAGAAAAAGTATTGTAATGCTGTAGAGAAAAATGGCAATTATTTGACAGAAATGTGGTATGTGACAGAAATTATTGGTCCTATATGTAGTAAATTACTTTCACTAGTATGTAGTCTCAATCCACATTTTGTGAGTTTTTGATACCCACAAATTAGTTTACAGCAAAAAATGTATTTACCCATCTGTCCATTCATCTGAAGACAAAGCTAGCACACTAACAGTTTATAAGATTTTCTCCAAACTTGATATTCCCTTATTGATCTGGTAGAACTTGAGACCATACAAATTTGAAACATATTTTGATTCTTTACATACAGGTTTGATACTTTCAAAATTTTCTCAACAATGTCTCCAGACATTTTATTATTTTTTCTCCTCAAATTGAGCAAATATACTTATAAAAAGTGTATAAATCTGATTTTTGTTGAACTTTAAATTTTCAAAAATTGCGAAAGTTAAATGTTTTGGGGGGTTTTAAATTACAACATTGGAGTTGGACATTCTTTTCTTAATGAAATCTGTTCACCAAAATTAAATCAGGTTCATCTCTTCCAACAATTGTGAAACATATTTCTTGTATTTATTTTTATGCCTCTTAACAAAGCATGCATTGCTAGTATTGGCATAATCTATTCATTTTAACATATTGTCATTGATGATGGACGACCTTCTATGTGATGGAATTGGCGATTTTTACATTTTGGCATCAGTGTTTCAGAATTGCTTGTTCTTTTGTTTGGTATGAAAATTTTTAAAGAAAACTAGAAATTGTGATCTTAAAGTATAAAATAAATAACCTGCTATGTGACCTTCACAATTTATTGATGATAGAATATATCATATGCGGTAAGAGCCACATGGAAGATTTTCATAAGGTGCTTTCAGAAAAATATTACAATAAATAAATATTTAATTCTATTATGTATTAAGTGTAGAGTGCCTAAACTTATCCAACTATACAGTATTAATATTAAAAAGTATTTTTCCTTCCTCCTTTAAAATTTTGTTTTTTTTTCACATTGATTTATCATCAATGACATAATACATTTCTTCACTTTGGATAGTTATATAGTTGAATGGACATATTTACATAAATTAAGCAGAACAGTAAGGTATATATTATATGCAGTGTATAGCAAGTTTAACATACAATATAACACAGTATAATTTTAATTGAAATCCTTTTGAGTGTATTATTTCCATGGTAAATGAATGGGAGAACATAAGGAAATTATTACAATCCTGTTTTCCCCATCGTACAGTAGATACTTTTTTACAAGAATTTGCACATTTTGTATCAGGGATGGAGACAACTAAAGGATAACTGAAACTGAGTCAGTCATTCATGACATTAAATTGTTTGCAGGTTGTGGAAGAACTATGTGTTTCCATCCAACAGATCCTCTTATCTGTTTAATTGGAACTGAAGAGGGATTTATTCACAAATGCAACATCACTTATGCATCAAATTATCTGTTCACTTATGCAGCACATCGATTGCCTGTGTACAAGATTAATTTCAACAAATTTAACTCTGATATATTCATCTCTTGCAGTGCTGGTTGGGGTATAAAAATGTGGGAAGATTGTCGAGAGTAAGTTTTGTAATTACATTTTTACTCATCTTTAGATATAGCAAAACCTGGTATTAAGAAGGTCAAATACTCATGTAAAAAGAGAACATTGCTTATTTCTCTGAATCTCTGCAACTGAATTTAATAAGGTAAGATTGATGCAAAACAAAGCTGTCATCATCATTATCTTTATACATTCAAAATGCTAAGAAACGATGACAGTTTATTTCCTAAAACATAGACACGATGCCCCATTAGTGCATTACTGGCAGGTAGGGAACTAACTCCCCCATAGTGCATCAAAAAGATGTATGATGAAAAATATAGAAGTTCTTAGGTTATGGCGTATTTGGATTATTAGGCACACATGCAGCCCACAAAACTCATTACGTCACAACACATTTGTTCCTCATGCAAAACTTTAAACAATGTGACCCAGAGCCGTCAAAACACTTGTTTTGAGTCTGTGTAATATTATAAATTAAATAATAAATATTATAAACATTATAAAATTAAAAGTAATTTGATTTTCTATGCAGCTTCTTTGCAATGGTTAGCAATATTAGAATGGCTACTGTCGCACAGTACGGGACTACATTGCTAAAATGCAATGACATCTCAGGATCTGGGTGTTTAAAATTTGGTTCTAGATGTTACAAAGCCATTGTCATCTTTAAAATAATATGCAGTTTTTGCACAAGTTAAGATATTATTTTGTTATTTGTAGAAACTTTGATTCTTTTTTCTCTTCTCTATCTCATGTAACTGCCCAAGCACCATGTACTTTGAACTATGGAACAGGATGCCCTCTTTCTGGCTGGTTTCCTCCTGTAACTCTTTTCTTTCGTTCATCGATCTCTCGACCTTAGGTGTCAATTTGTTAATGGGGCAGATAAGGAGTGAAAGTAGTATAGTATGTCCTGAAATTTTTGACACATCAATCAAGTCTTATCCAGTGGCGACTCACGAACATATGTTCAGGGGAGGCAAAACAGTTTACTGAACAGCGGTGAGTCCTGAAAAGGGGACATGGCGGCAATGACCCACCACAATTCAATGTTTACTCTCTCATATATGTATACACAAAGTATTACACCTAGTATAGAGAAAGTTATGAAATGCTGCAGAAAATTGATTCCGTGATTTCAATTGAAATACACATTTGGGGGTCTCCTGGTACCGAAAAGGTGTTTTTGTTTTGTAATGTTTTTTCAAAACGTCTCTCTGTGTGGTGTACGTGAACAACACTAACTCATAAACTATGCATAAGATTTTTTCCAAATTGAAGAAACCCCAGTCCTTCTGGCGTGAGTTGAAGCTCTGCAATTTTGAAAAACATTAATTAATTTTTGGAGGTTCTTTACATGAACCCCCCCCCCCCTGGCATTTTCAAAATGTTCTCAAAAATTGCACCAATTTTTTTCTTTAAATTTCTTGTAAGAATAGAGTAAATACTCTTTATCACGGTTACATAGGTCTAATTTTCATGGTTAACTGAATCTTCCAAAATTGCAGGATTTTGAATTTCTTTTGGGATTGTCCTACAACTACGATATTTAAGGTAGAGATTTTGCCTTCAAATAAAATTTCTTCTCCATATTTATTTCTTTAATTAAGGTCATGTGCATTAAAAAAAATTACTAGTTTTCATCCAATAATGCCGCCAATATGTGCAATATTGAAACAAACACACAACAAAAATAAGATTCCAAGACCCCTTTGAGAAAGACTTCTTGACTATGAAAAATATTTTCGTATTGAGAAACACTCTCTCCTCCCAAAACATCTTCCTTTTCCTCTATGGGAACCATTCACTCCGAACATAGATCTGGAATTAAGCCAATATTCAATTCCAATATTGGCATCATATTCTCTGAATGTTTACATTAATGACAAATACGAAAAGTATCAAAAATGGTTTACTGATGGATCAAAATGCAATGAAAAATCTGGGTGTGCTACAGTTTCTATAACACTCTCAAACATTATATCATGCCATCCTCCGGATTTCCTCTCTATTTTTTTGTGAGGCCTGGGTTTTAAAGCTATTGAACTTAGCTCCTAAAATGTAGACAACACTCATATTGCCATTTTTTCTGACTCCACGTCAACACTCAGAGCTATCCAAAATAGATTCTCCAATAATTCAATCATTCGAAACATCCAAAATCTTCTTTACAAAAAAGCAAAAACAGGTTTTAGAAATATACAGTCGTGGCTTCCTTCCCATAAAGGGGATTAAAATTAATTTCCATTAAGGGGGAATGAAAAAGCTGACTTAACTGCTAAAAACACAACTCATTTATTGAACGTTGTCCAGCATATTCATGGTTTTTTAAATAACTTCATAAGAACTTTAAAAAAGTGTATTGTTAAGGTATGGGATCACCAGTGGAAATCTTCTACATCAAAACTCCATGTTGTACAAAAATTGGTAACAGACTTGAATATGCCAAACACTACACTAAGAAGAAAAGAACAAGTTATTGTTATGAGAATTTGCCATTCTTCAATCACCAACTCCCATCTTATAAAAAAATGATCCATCTACCTGTCCAAAATTTGGAGTAATGTTATCAACCACTCACATTATCCTTCAATGTTTAAGCCCCCAAAATCTTAGAAACTCTCTTGAGATAAATAAAGATATTTATAAAATATTTAATTCAATTGGAGGTTGCAAATCAATTTTAAAATATCGTAATATTGTTGGTCTGGATAAAATGATCTGAACTATTGTAAAAAGTATTTTATTTAATATTTTTGTTTGTTACAATTTATAAAATGTATTTCTGATGTAAATTAATAGTACTCGCTAATGATATAAGCTGTTTTTAAAGTGACCTAAAATAAATAATTTAAAAAAAAGTTATTCTCTCGATTACTGCCACTTTGCTTAAAAATAACTTGTAAAATTACATTCATGAAGCACAGTAAATTCAAAGCCGGCGAATTTGTTTGTAGCCAAATTACACAAAAAATACTCATATTTTCAAAAAACTCAACCTGACCTTATTTTAAGATCCATTTTTATGAACACGTTTTATTAAGAAAAATGTGTCTTCACAAATGTAGTTGTTAAAAGACGCCGAATTTTTTTAAATTTTCGAAAAATTAGAGTTTTAAACGAAAGTTAGTTCTGCACAATTCTCTTAAACGTCCTTTCCACTATTCGACAACAAAATTTGACCAAACAGGCTCAGAAGGTTCCAGCAAGCTGCCAAACTGAGCGAGATCCCCCAAGTCATAAATGTCTCGTGTCAGGTGTCCCCAGCAAAGCTCCCTGTGGATTCCGCACCTTTACAAGGAGGCAGAGTGATCAGTCCAACCAAATTTAAGAACTGTCAAAAAGGTTAACCAGCGCAGTCTACGACATCAAAACAAATCTCGACCGAACGTTTAGCCCCCTGGCGGCACCCAGGAGGATTCTGCTTGGAACTTGCCGTGGAACTCCCCTTGGGGAGGAAACTCGCCCGTTCAGGACACGCCGGAAAAAGAAAAAAGTAATAACCCTATACCGCAGTGGAATATGAATCGTTTCTTCTCGCGACGGGACGACCTATAACTGCAGTCCTGTTGCAATCTTCGGATTGTCTCTTTAGAAGAAACACATCCCACCACGCCTCCTGTCTCTTCGTAGTTTTACCTCTTATAGGTTCGACATTGATGATGGACTACGTGCTCATGGCGGAGTTGCTACACTAGTTCACGACTCGCTCCTGTCAACAGAACGTCTTTAGAACGACTTACCAACGTGTACCTCCCATCCTTCACTCAATGTCAGTGACGTTTACATCCACCCAGGACAGTGTTCACGCCGATGAACTTTAGGGCTTGATAAACCATCACCGTTTTTGATGGTCGGAAATGCCCACAGTCCTCTTTGGGGCGCTTCGCAAACTTGTCCGAGAGGCGACCTAATGGAATAGGTAATAGACACCGTGAACTTGGTTATTCTGAATTCAGGTGAACCAACCCATTTCGCTAAAGTGACAAACTGCATGATCTAGCTCTATGCAGTCCCTCACTTGCAACCGTTCTGCAATGGTCCATTCTAGCCGACCTGTAAGGAGGAGAAATTACCCCACTGTCGTCCACATTGAAGGACTTGGTCGTGGGTTGGCTCGATCCCCTCAATGGAACGTGCTGGCAGGCTTAAATGTCAAGTTAATATCAATCTCTCAGAGGGCGACTTTACCAGGAACTAACGGTACACAGTATGCGTTTGTGCAAATCACAAAAACGTAAAGTTAATATTTGACGGAGGAGGCCTCGCAAAGTTAACTGCAGATAATGTTAATTCATTGAAGACTATCGTATCTGCGTAAAAAAATGTGCACCTCCAAGAGCCTGAGTGTTACTTTAAAAAGTGTGAGAAATGTCCTGGAACAGAATTACTTGAAATATTGCAGGAAAGTTTGAAGAGAGAATGATTGGCAGAGTCACATATCGGCAATGGATTCACGTTGCCCGAAGTAGTTTGGAAATTTTAGTGTCATCTGTAGAGGAATTCTTTTAAAAATGCAACTAAAATAGAAGATTTAAACACACGCATTTACAGCACAGCAGCAAGCAACCTTCCTAACTCAGTGCAAAGATAATTTAGCAGACAGGGGAATTATTTACTTTATGTGATTTTTTAGAAAATTATTTCTTCATAATTCAAGATTCCATACACGGTGTGCACTGGAATAATGATCAAGCAACTATACACCCTTTTATTGCTTATTATTTGCTTTTATTTTCTCTGGAAAATGGCGTTGTGATGCATAAAATTTAGGGTGCAATTTCAGAGTGCCTCAAACATGACACAGATGCAGGCAGTTCATCGTTTTCAACGAAGTGTTATACATTTTTTAAAGACTACAATCAAAAACATAGAAAACATACTGTATTTCTCTGATGGTACTAGTGCTCAATGTAAGAACAAAATAAACTTCTTCAATATCTGTTTAAGAAAGATTTCGGAATAAGTGAAAACTTTCTTTGCATGGTAAAGTCCTATGTGATGGCATACGTGGTGCTTTGAAGAGCTTAGCATCAAGAGCTAGTCTTCAAGTACATCAAGATCCATCAAGAGCTAGTCAAGTACATCAAGATCCGATTACGACTCCCAAGAAGCTCTATGAGTGGGCACAAAAAAAACATAGTTTCAAGAATGAAGATCACGAGGAATCCACATGAAAAGTCGTAGAAATGGTACGTGATACACGTTCATTACATTCCTTTACTCCTGTTTGTGAACGTAAAACAATAGTTTCCTTGAAAGAAATTAGAGATCTTGCCCAAGTTATGTGAAGAGAAACTAAAAAAGTCAATTTGACACATATTAATGTATATGTTTTGGAATATTAACTATATCGTAAATCTCATTGCTCAGTGAACATTTGCATTCATCTTCCAGCTGTCAAGCTTGTTCCCCCCGGGGTTTCATTCGATAGCTGCACATACATCGACGGGCCCATTGAGGTTCTCGCGGCGCCGTAGGATTTAAAAAGTTCTCAAAAAGTTATTTTAACAGAAGCTTCGTGGTCCTTTAGAAAAAAGTATGAACTTTCTTTTCATTTTTTCAGATTTTTAATTCGCAGTAAAAATAATAATTTTATAACTTAAAATATATAAACAAAAAATTGACGTTAAAAAATATAATTTTATAAACAGTAAAATAAATTTCATGAAAAGCAAAGATTTAAGCGTTGATTTAAGACAAACACGAAACTGAAATTTTAAAAAGATTTTGAGATATAAAATATTATGCATATCCGTGGATATTCAGTTTAGGGATCGTCTATAAATTACGGAACGCTTAAGAGGGTGTTTGAGGCAGCGT